ATAATCAACAAATTACAATCACATGTTTTATTATGAATAAAGGTGAGACTTAATAAACCCTTGGTGAAATTCACAATGATTGTGATGTACAAATGAATGCATCCATAATCAAATTATATAGTTTTAAAATGAGCCATTGTGCAACCATTTTTGTACTTTTAAGTATATTTTGATAACAAATGTTGAGCTTTTCTGCAAACGTTTTGAATGTAGTGCTTTTACTTTAGTTTACTAACAGAGTATTTATACACTGTTCTCAGTACTATGATTACTTCTGCCACCACTTGATCCTATAGAAGATTATCCATTGCTGTAGATCAAACTAGCATAAGCAGTTTGACTTAGCACAACCTCAAACATCGAATGTTGCAATACTCCACTTTTACTTATTCTGACTGTGTGGTATTGCTTCTTATACTTCAGTAAAGGATCTGAATACCACTCACACACACACACACACACACCACACACACACACCACACACACACACACACACACACACACACACCACACACACACACACACACACACACACACACACACACACAGGCTTTTCTCTGATGTGACCTTCAGCACATGCAGGCTGGCATTCAATTACCGCCCTGTCAGTGGCCCATCCAGTGGCTGCACGTCCTTGAGAGTCTCTCTCCAGCCTCCGTCCAGTCTATATTCCATTACATCCTCCACATTGGGAGCTCTGTCCGGCATAAAGCAGCGCTCACATCCTCAACACTGTGAGGGCACACACACCGCATGATGTATCCTTTTCAAAATCTCTAACTGCAGTGAGCAATGGTTATTCTCGCTCATACTCTGAATCAAATCCGAGCAGGAAGTAAATATTAGATTTAAGTTTTTATCGAGTGAGATATTGTGTTGGTGTAAAAAAAAGAAACCCTAGCCCAGAAAAATCTAGCACTGCTCGTCTGAAATAGTTTTTCCATTGATCTCCCTTGCTTTTTATGTTTTCGCAATATTGTTGCTAGGATCCGCTTGATTATCGCCCAAAATGTCCTTCAGGGTCTTTTTGACTGTATTGACCTGTGATCATTACTGAAAGGGGAAAGTAGGAGAGCCATCTTTATTCAATGTTACAAGGTGAAAGCTCAGAGTTGAGTCTCCTGCTGCTTGTGTCCCTTCTCTGTTCTGCTGCGATGATTCATGTCTGCACAGATATTGATTGACCTCAAACAGATATATCTCATTTGTTTATAACTTTCGTCACATTGTGTGTATCAGTACATTTGTCTTGGCTGCTACTCTGACTTTTGCTTTCTTTTGACATTTGGGCTCTGCTAATATTTAAGATTTATCTTGTAAAGCAAAACCCCTGTTGGTTATGTGCTCTATAAATAAAGATTATTATTAATATTCACCAAGTGAGCAGTTACAAAAGCAAAGCTTTCACTGGAACTGTAATGTTAAGTGGATTCATTGGTGACAGCTTTGATAATCATATATAATATATATAATAAATTTTTTAAAAACAACCCACCCAATACTCTTTTTTTTCCAGCCTCTAATGCAAAGATTTGCTAGTTTTCTTTTTTTATCTCCATTTCCTTTTGGTTAAATGTATTGTCTCATTATTGTACTTTAAAGCACACCTTCTGGTTGAGACGAATAATTGATTTAGAAATAAAACAACCATGATCAATCTAATATAAGAACTAGATTTGACAAAGGCCAATCCAATTTGAATGTTTAGTTGACCTTTGACTTTTGAGTGGATTAATAAAGATTTGCGTGCCTTTAGATTTATGGGAACTGAGGTGGAGGTTAGATGGATTATTCCTTATGATTTCTCAATTACTATTTGGTCTGAAGGTTTTTACTATCAGAGATGTTTAAGTAACTTCTTTATACTTTGACTTTCTTGAACACTTATTTATGGTTTCTTATAGACCCATGAGGGCTGGGAAAAGTTATATATAAGACAGTAATATTTATAAAATGAAAGATATTCATAAGATGCTGAATTGATATAGTATGAAGACAAATGTATGTTACACTAATTGGAATTATTTGCTTTTTTAGACTTATTTCTTTTGGTAAACTACCTGATAGTTTCACTTCTCAAAATATAATTTAAAATATGAGACATTTTTAACAAACTTTTATGACAGAAGATTATAGATCTTTTGATTTCAGACTGTTTGTGTGACCAAACCTGCATTTACAGGCATTTGTCAGCCTTTTCTGACATCCTTTAGACTAAACTATAAATCTAGAAAATAATCACACTATAATAATCAAACTCGCAGTGGCACTGGCTGGTTAACCTATTAAACAATGAAGAATGTATTTTGCTTTTGTACATGAACTGGCTGCCGCGAGGAAGATTTATCTGACAGCTAACTGAATTGTTAGCCTTCAGGAATTCATGATCATAGCAGTAAATCCACTCTGTGCAGAGTATAGATACATAAAACATATTGCTCTCCTGGATTTATTAGCTGTCTGATTTATGCAGATCTTACTCAACAGATTTCCACCTCTGTATTTGGAGGGCTTCAGATGACATTTACAGTGCCAAAGCAATCATTAATTGCTATCATCTCTTTACTGTATTGATCCCTTTTATATCTACAGTCCTGTTTAGTTAGAACATCTTAAGCATGGACGCTTGTATCACGTTTATGAGTTGTTGAGAGCATAAATAATTCCCTTGAAAAATCCCCCATAAGCCCTTCGGGGTCACCGTGTCTCCATTTAGGAAATTAGAAAGGCAAAAGCGGTGACCAGACCTCTGCTGATTGTCTACTCATGAAGATCCTATAAAGGAATTGGAGAATTATTAGCACCTCCAATATATTATCTCAAGTCTTAAAAGTCTGTTCTCTGTTAAAGACGTGCTCCCACTGCCACCCAGATCTAAATATAATGCCAGCCAGGAACCTGAGCCTCTAAACTTCTGCAACCTGAACCGTCTGCAGAAAAACACAATGGATTAATGCACAGTTGTGCCACATGGTGTGACCCTGTGCCACATGTCAAGTGACTCTACTTACTCTACCAAACAATGTGTCCAGTGTGTTTCATTATAGATGGGAGCCTGATCTCTGCTTGCTTCTGAAAGCCTTTGAGCATGAGTAAAGACAAAAGACACTCGTAAAGGCTTTGCCATGATGTCTTATTCAACACCTTTGGTCAGGTACGCACATACATGTGTTTCCCTGAACATTTACAATAGTTGTCTGACTGTGTTCAAACATTGTTTTAAGACACCCACAATGAGGATTCACTGATGATAATTTAACTTAAGTGAACTTGTCCAAAGACATTTATCAATAAAAGAGCTTATGTCTTTTCATAGGTGGTTATAATAATCTTTTTGAAAGGCGTTATAAATGTGCTCAGGGGTGAGTTTTGAGTGTTTTTGCAAGCCTGAAAGGTGTAGCAGATTCTTGATTATTTTTGGCTTATTACTGTACGGGACAGGTTTCCTCAGAAGTGTATTAAAAATCTGCAGGGCAGAGCATCATCTCTTTCTGCAACAATCAACTCCCCTCTCGTTCAGTCTCAGCAGTCTTTATGCTTGTTGACACCCTACACTGTGCTTCATCAACACTGCCTCCCCCTCAGTTTCATCTTAATGAAAAATGCTGCTTTATTACCACCATGATTTAGACACTCAAAATTAGTACATGACGTTAGAGGCACAGCCTCTGTGGCTTGTAGTTGTCAATCAGCTCCCTTATGAGATATCTTACATGTACAGCATTTACATCGTATTTGTTGATGCATTTGTTATTTTAATATTTGTGGTTATTTAGTTTTATATAGTATGGTAATCAGGCTCAGGTTCAATGAGTCATGCACATCAGCTTCATTTGCTAGGTTTCGCTCATTAGAGCTCAGAGTGGCATAGCCTAACTTTGTCATTTCTAGGCAAAGAGGCAAAATAGCAAGGTATATTCCAGGTCTGAGGGCCTTAACTGGCAGACCACATCTCCACTTAAAAAGCGGCATTTGATTAAAATTGCTCTGTTTCCATCCAAAATCTGTGCTTGCTGAAATGAATGAAGTGGATTAACTTTATCGCAGGATAATGCAGATTAAACTGGTAAACACAATCGCTAAGTGATGCATATGGCCTGCAGGGGTGGAGTTAAAGCTTTATTTTTCAGCCAGAAGAACTGGGTTAACATGTTTGGGTTTTAATTGCAGTGTACACAGCTGAAAAAGCGCAGATCATACCATTTCCATACGACAGTAGCAAAACATCATTACAGACTAGTGCTGCTTGAGCCAATAATACCTCCAGGTCCCAACGTGTGCTCTTCTTGTAAAAATGTACCCTGCTAATGCAAATGATGCTGCTAATGAAAGCGTTAAGTTATTCAGCTGGTGTTTCTCCGGAGTGATACGTCAGCATGTCTCTTGATCCCCGAAGCGATTTTTTTTTCTTCCCCCCTGGGCGTGAGCTGAAGCCATGCTTGCTCTGACGGTGGAGATACAGCCGGTTCAATGAAAGCGGGGGTGGCAGCTGGAGAAAATCCATTCCCAGAGTGAGAGTTCTGCTGAGGCAGGTATGCCGACCTTTCAGTCATCTGATAGGTCAATGCTCGGCAGTGTGCCTGGACATCGGTGGCTAATCGCCAGGCCTGGTGCTGCTCATAGTAAAGCTTATCTGAGCAGCAGCCAGTGATGATCAATGGGACCCGTCGGCAGCTCATTTATAGTACAGTATGGCACAGCCACAAAGTTCACCAACAGATGAAGGTGACAGATGACCATGGGGTCTACCATGTGCATGTTCAAAGTTTCTGAAGCAAAATGCAGTTGTAATCCATTGTGCAGTAGTTGTCTCAATAGCCTTTGAATGACACCCAATCATTGCTTGTCAATTAGTCTTGAATGACTCAGGTGCAATGAGATGTTGCTGCTTAGTGTGCAGAAGAATATGCTGGCCTCTTGCTCTCTAGCACGTCAGACCACAGCCCTGATGAGATGACCTCTAATTTTCTTGTTTGTGGTAAACTTCTCGTTCGTCCCAGGTGCCCACGGAGTGAGAGAGGAGCCCCGGTTTGTGACGGCGCGCGCCGGAGAGAGCGTGATCCTGGGGTGTGACGTGTCCCCTCCCCTGGACGGCCAGCAGCCCCCCTATGTGGTGGAGTGGTTCAAGTTTGGAGTGCCTATTCCCTTCTTCATCAACTTCCGCTTCTACCCTCCTCATGTGGATCCAGAGTACACTGGTAAGACAACTGTTGACATGGTAAAGATAAAGCAAAGTCATCTTGAGACATTATGAAAAGTTCTATCTGTAACAGATTCAGTTTAAAACTTTTAAATTAGGCAGCATCAGGATCACAATCTCTTTAGTTGCCAAACCCAGCAATGTCAGAGATATTTGAGTTGTTTGCCCAATCGTCAAGTGCTACAGTTTCATGATACACACTGTTAAGCAGAGACCATAGGTCATTGTAATATTCTGAAGTGCATTTCACCATTAGTGAAAGATGATGGCTTGCAGATATACTTTACGGATTTAAAGGAATAATTTGACATTTTGGGAAATATGCTTTTTCATTTTCGCTCTGAGAAGTTTGATATTACATTTGGAAACAGTTGGAACAATCTAGCCTGGCTTGGAGATCTTTTTGTTAAATCCATACAAAAATCTAAGTGTAAACGAGACATCTGATAGTTTTATGGTGGGTTAGGTAAAATGTGGTCATTGGTGTGTAACCTGAAAACGTCTCCCATAGTTTTGAGTAGTTATATTGTAGTAGTAGAGTATGAAGTCTCAACACATTAAACAATCTGCCTTTGTGAGTCCATCACACTGATGGATATAGTGATATACAACTCGAAAGATATTATAAGCTTTTGCTTTAATATACAATAATTATGGAAACATTTCTATGATGATAGAGCATATAGTTTTAGCTGCTGCAGATCCAATTATAAGCTGGCTGAGAGCAGAGCCTTTCTGACAACCAGTTAAATATATTACAGTGCAAATGCGTTCTATGAATGTACCTCCAAATCCTCCGAAGACTGACCTACAATTGCAGTGTATTTTCCCTCAGAATGATACTTTAGCTCTAAGTTTAAGGCATGGTGCAGTACACTGAGGCCTTTACGTACTAAAACAAAGACTTGGCCCCCTTTGTAAAGCGCTCTGGTTCTTGAAGTGCAATTCGTTCTGTTCTAACACAGCATTCGGGGCTGTGCAGGGGCATCTGCTGTCTCTGAGTGCATAGGGGGAAATAACTGTCTCAGCAATTTACGACTGCATTGTAGCCCACATACATTATCACACTCTAGTGACAATGCAGCACAGCGCATACATACAGTATATGAAAACGAATAACTGTATGTCCAGTACAGGGGTTATCAAAGAAGCTATAACCGACAAATGAATGCAGCCTCCAAAATTATCGTTAAACTGCATCAATACCTCTTTTAAACAGGTTTAACAAAAACTGATCATTATAGCCTTCTCAACAGGCACATTTTTTGTTTTAGATGGCATTAGTTTTATCTGAATGTACCTAATAAATATGCAACTGAATATATCATAATGTACTGTGTCCCTATTTAAAAAGGCTACACATGGTGCAACATTTTCTGTGTAAACCAAAATAATGATATAAAAGATGCTATAAACTGTCTTGCTGAGCTGAAGGGAACTTTCTTAGTTGTTGATATGAGTAAACCCTTTCACATTCAATCCATTATTTATCTAGAAATATTGATAACAGCAGTTTTAAAATTAGCATAACAATAGTTATTTCATCCCATCATAGAACCTTAAAATGCTCCTCTCCTGGTTTAAACATTATATCTGCCGCACTACTTGTATTAGGAAATTGGTTCTACATCCTGATGTTGCTTCTGCATCTTTGACAAGATGGCCAGCTGTCACAATGGGGTCAGAATCATCCCCTCCTGTTCCCACCTCTTTACCAAGTGCCTGACCTGGTAATATGCTGTGAATCAAAGGCAAGTCATGGCTTGTTGAAAGGCAGAAGGATTAATCTCTCTTCTGTGAGTGTCCTAAATACGGACATTACAGATTTTTCAGCTGGGTTAGAAAACAGTGTGAATAACATTAGGTTGATTGAAACTCCTCCCTGTGGGATTTTCTTAAAGCAGGGTCATCAGTGCAGAGAAGACTAATGGCAGTGACTCACTGTCTGGGGAACCCTCCTTTCTGTTTTGTGGTGGCTACTGTAGATCTTGCAGCCGCTGGAGCGTTTCATTGCTTACTTTAACCTCCTGACCAGCGGCAGGGTATGAACGGCCGGCAACTTTTCAGACAGCATCTCACTCTACTGTGCTCGCTCTGGCTCTAAAGGGACTCTGCCATGTGGCGTCAAGTCCACTGCTGAGGAATTACCAGTGAACAGATGCAACATGAATATGGCCAGTCTCATTACATAGATTAAAGTTGGGTCTGGGGATTGCATGTGCACGGCAACAGTGTGATAATAACACTGGACATGATGAGATGCTTTTTGGGTCTGTGCAGTCTCAGAGTTCATTTCAGCTATTTTCATGAACTCTTATCACATAATATAAATACAATTGGTGGGTAGGCTGCTACCAAAACAGAGTGTGTATATATATATATATATATATTATATATATATTTCCCTTTGATTGTAGTGTCATTTAATCCATCTATGGGTCAATCGTTTTGTCTGGGTCAGTAAGCATTTACATCACTTTATGTTCTTGCAAATGATTGATAAACCAACAGTATATTCATATTCTTTTTTATTTTAGATTAATCATTACAACTATGTATTTTCCATGTGATTTGCTGCTAACATGAGAACATGTGCAGATATCCTTCTAGACAAAAATCTATACTGCCAGTTTGTCCCGCAGCTATACCGAAATAACAGCATTAAAAAACATCTTTATTTGTGCCCTCTCGTGCAATAACACAATCAATAATTCAGATGTGAAGCATGTGAAATGTTAGTGTCGGATTGGCCCGCTTTGGGACAAGCTGACAACTAAATCATATCTCTCTACAACGATAATATGGATTTATAAATTAAACACCTTTTCCTGCATGTACAAGATACTGCCTCAATCACTCATCACTAACAGAGAAAAACCCAATATTATCTGTTATTCACTTAAATTAACTGATTTAAAAAATACCTTACACTAAAGAAATGTAATGACATCAAAAAGCGTATTCAGGCCATTAATTTGTTGTGAGTACAGTAAAGGCTAGCTTTGCATTTAAAATGTTTGAATAATGCAGGAGAGCTCCCAAGCCGGAACAATGGAAGATTGTTCTTTCCCATCTGAAATGTATGGGGCTTTATAGTGCATTAACAAACCCACACAATGGAACAGAAGAAGTAGTGTTAACAGCATATGCTTAATTTCTACTAACAATCCCGCAATGACATTTTTCCAATATGATAATTACAATCCCAAAATGCAACACCTGTCCCAAATAAGGTATTATGCTCATGTTTCATAAGAGTCCAACATTTTGTCTTGCCCACGGCAATCTTCAAATATGTTTCTCATCTACACACCTCTGAAATGTGTGACTGACCGCATATTGCCCGATTGTCCACAGACAGATAGACGGTATTCAAAACACACAGACTCGTGAAAATAATACCAGCAACCCACTTTGCTCTGCTCATTGCTATTATTTTATCACTGCTCTTTGGGATTTAAAGTTGTATTTTGTTGTCCTCCAGACTGTGTCTCTTTGGATCTTTTGTGTTTCCTCTTCAAAGTTTCCTGACAGAGCTTGTGATGTGATATTGTGTGTTTTCACAGTAGACAGAACCCTGTGTAAGTGGTGTATGACCGGAGGGGCCGTCCTGACGTGAATACACTGTTAACTCTGTTTACAGCAGCACCCTATATCACTGTTTGACAAATGGGAGCTGAGGTTGATCCCTACCATTCACGCCATCACCCTCCCCACTCAGCACTTCAATGCCCAAGCAAAAATAGACTTTTTTCAAGACAAGCTACCTTTTTAATGCAAGACTGCAAACTCTTCTCTCTTCCTCTTTGCTGCATCGATTTTCTGCTAACAAAAACTCCCATCAGTTTTCTACCCCAACTATGCCACCTATCCCAGGGTTGGGCTATTCATTTATTGCATTTACATACAGTGCTGGTAGAGCAATTCAGCCCATCCTCACTGTCAATACATCGGCCTGACAGTTGGAAGTATCAGGAAACAGTGCTTACAGAACATCTACACATCAAAGTTTGGAAAAATGCTCTATCTGCGAACACTCGTCAGATGGCAGAAGAGAGTGTTTTAGTGTGTCGGGCTGTCAGAGGCAGCCATGTGAGCAGCGGGCTGGAGGCTTGAAGAAAGACAGCTTAGCAGCTGAAGATTTCACCATGCCTGGTTTCCTGAACTTCTCTCATCCCTTGTGATTTCATCCTTTTAGAATTCCAATTTATCCTCAGCCTTGAAGAGTAAAAGCGGCCGGGATGGAGAAGTTTTATAAGAAATAGATGATTTCTTTGAGGTGGAAATCTGGTATTTTGTGTCAAATAATTTACATTTTTTTAGCTGGAGCTATAACCTAAAAAGTTTTATACATTTAGGTTTAAATAAGGAAATATTGAATTGGTTAAAGATCAAACATTTTGAGGAATACATTTATTCACTTACTTGCTGTTAGATTGATGAGAAGATCAATAGCACTTTTAAGTCTGTTACAGTAGTTAAATATGAAGTAGCTGAGGCCAGTAGATGGTTTTTAGTACCACTAAGGCCAAATGAGGTACATCAACTTAATGTTAATAAAATTTGATTTTTGCCGAGCTAAGATGAAAGTAACAGTCTCCTGGCAATTCATTTTTTTATTCTAATTCTGACTTTTGGATAGAGCCGTGTTAGTTATTTTCCACTAAAAACATATATCTGAGCTAACCAATCTCCTGGCTGTAGCCTTGTTTCATATATACCATATAAATATAAGAGTGGTATTGATTTTCTCTATCCACTCATGGCAAAGAAGCAAATAATTTCCCAAAATATCAACTGATTTGATTGTTTGTGTTAATAATCCTTTGAGTTTGATGTTTAAAGAGTCTTCATGGTCTTTATATCCGTTTCCTGTAACAATCAAGCTGATGGAAGGCGGTAAATTGCCCTTTAGGTATAATATGGTGATAGGGTTGTCCGTCTCTGTTAACTCATGCCTTCCATCGAGTGCTTGGAAAGGCTCCAGACTGCTGTACTCCCTGAGCAGGAATGAGAACAAATGTCTTTATCCCACCCGACTTGAACTTCTCTGAGGCCTGGAAAATAGGCTTGTGAATGTGCTTATTATAATAAAGGGGAGTTCAAAGTCTGAGTTTTTAGAGTCCTTGCAGAGAAAAAAGGAAAAGCGAGTAGCAGAGATTATACAATGTTGCACTTAATCCTAATAACGTTCAGTACAGTCAGTGGAACATATTTATTTATCCTTCTATCCATGTACAAATCTAAAGTGTTCTTTCACACCATAACTTAGACTCTACTTTTAATGCAAACCATTGCATCAGAAATCAATTTCATGCTGTAAGAAGCAATGCTTAAAGCTGGGAGTTCAAATGGAGAAGCATACCCTCGTTGAGAGCGTGCAGATGTTTTTAAAAAGCATAAAAACATGAATTATGTTTCTTTTCCGTCTCCAGGTAGAGCCTCTCTGCATGGGAAGGCCTCCCTACAGATCGACCCAGTGCGCTCCGATGACCAGGGCTGGTACGAGTGCAGGGTCCTGATGCTGGAGCAACAGTACGACACCTTCCACAACGGCAGCTGGGTGCACCTCACAGTCAATGGTGAGTCACCTACACACTCTCTGAACTGTTAACGTATGTGTTTGTACATTTCAACGGAAAAAATCGAAAACCTGCGTCATACATTCAGGCTTCATGCTGTATATAAAAAAGAACATCAGATTTTCTTTAGAAAATATGGTTCTATTTTATCGAGGACATTTTCGCCTGAATCTTTTTTAGTTGAAAAGTACAAGCACAGGTAAAAGTAGTCAACACTCTGATGAGCTTATGAATATTATATCTATCCAGCCATTGCATGAATCATGATGAATATTGTATACATATGTTCAGTACATACTGAAAATGTACTTATTTTTATGTTGTCTTTGTTGCATTATGTAACATTTAATTGTTAAATGTAGTAATTTTTTGTATTCAGTTTTTGAAAGTGTACTGCTTCTTAAAAATGTTATGTCAAATGATTATTATATATATATATATCCATTAATCGGCCGTCAGGAAAGTACTCGCATGTTGATGATTGAGTGATGAATATTTAGTGTATCCTTTTATAAATACAAATTCCTCTAGAACAACTGGATTTTTACTAAAGCTTCATGCACAATAATGCACAACTTTCTAGTCTTTCTTAAAATAAAAAAAACTAATCATGAATTCACACTTCTTGACTCACTGGTCCCGTTTACTGCTGGACACAGATTAGTATTTGCTCAGTTTTTTTAGCAGTCACATAAAAAGAAAACACCATTACAGACTGTTTTAGATCATCCCTGCTGCTCCTTATCAAAAGGCCTTGGTGTAAAGAAGGAATGAGAGGCTGGTTAGAGGAGAATTGATTGTGGCCTGTTTAAGGCGGTTCAGGCAGGGATCGTCTGTGATAGTCTGAGAGCTATCAAACTGATGACCAGGCAGAAAAAAAATCTGCACCTTTGCATTTCCCAGGAATACCGTAGTGGCTCAGAGAATCCTTTGTGAAGTGTGTCCTCACATGGTTGCAGAGCACCAGAGACTACAGAGACAAGCAACCTTGTGTTTCTTTTTTTATGCCTGTATCTGCTTCATGTGAGGAATGCATTTAAAACAGATATTAAGCTGTTTTGCAGAAGATGAGTAAATGCATGATGCAGCAAAGGTGCAGTAAAGTAAATGCAGGAAGTACACGTTGTCTCAATGTATTACTTGGATTTCTTAGTTGGCATTTTCTGGTTAAAATGAATGTGTTAATATTGGCTAAACAGGCAAAAACTGTTCAAGCCAAAAGCGGTGATTCCTTGTGTTAATTAATCTTCACAGGTCTCTAACTTCAGAGAGCTGTAATCCTCTGTGTTATTAGAGAGAGACTGTCAAAGTCTTTCACATGTATATTTTTGGCACTGTGCGAAACTCATGCATATTCAATTAGGCATGCATATGTTTTACAATGGTTGCAATTCTTATACCTGAATAATGATTACAACTTACTTTATGCTAAATAGTGGGTAAAAAAAACATTTGTAAAGTCCGATGCACTGCATAATCACTTTAGAAGGAAAAATGCTGACGTGTATAAATGGTTATTATCAATGCAGAACATAATATTTTCTTTTGTATGTGTTTGTGTTAGTACAGCACACACACTGCAGATTACTTTCAGCACAGTGTTCTGTGTGCAGCGCATTAGATCAACATTGACATGAGAGCGTCTCATTGTGTGTGTTTGTATGCAGCTAAATGAGATCTCTGTCTGTTGAAGTTGTAGTTGAAGAGTGAATAGTTCACACTCTGCCGTCACCTGCACACTCATGATGTTTGGTGTTTAGGAACGTCTGTGGGCGTGCATGGGTGTGCGTGTGTGTGTGTGTGTGTATCAATGTCTTGTTGTGTAGGTATACTGAATCTCTGTAGCTTTCCTCATCAGTATTCATTCTTGACTTTGACTGCTCCCTCCCTCTTCTCCTGCGTTGCTCTACTGTCAGGCTTTTCAACAGAAACTGAGCTCTTTGGGCTGTAGCAGAACTAATAATTAATATTCCTAAATGTCATATTATAATGTGGCATATTAAGTGATGCCATTTTACATGATCTCATGTGTCTAACTGTAGAGTTGCAGTTAGCATGCACAGCATACTTCAAGGTGTTTCACTGGTACAAATGTTTAGTTTCTCTTGGGATCATATTTGATGTTAAACACAGACATTTATGGAGACATCAAGAACAGCAGTTTAGATATCCAAAAAGGGATTTCATATGAAGACTTTATGTTCCTGCTGTAAGCTAAATGGGTGTCTGTGAGGGAAGCAGGTGCCATTTTCGTCTGGCCTCAACACACAGACACTAAGGACACCCATTTCCTTTGGCTGTTGGTATTTGCATACACTCCTCCTTTGAGTTCCTGTTGCTGCTGGCCTTAACTTCCTGCCAAGCGGACAGGGAATTGGTGCCCACTCAGTGGCAGGTGTCAGATGGCAAGGCCTTGTGCCCGAAAAAAGACACTAAGGCCACTCTCTTTCTCTCTCACCGCCCCCCATCTCTTCCTTAGCTCCTCTCTGTAGTCGTGTCTCCTCTGTCCTTCCTTTCTCTTTCAAGCATCAGCAAGCTTTTTAGGATTAGAAAAAACATCAGCGCAGCGTTTTCAAATAATTTAACAATGAAACATAAGAAAACCCTGTTCTGTTTAGTGATGGACTGGCATTTAGAACCCATTTGGTTGACCCAATTGGGGCCTAAATGCCAGCTCATCTGTGCACCAGCTCCATATATTCCCCATGTGTGTCAGTCCTTGTCAGTCACTAATAGCCCCGGCATGGCCACAAATGGTGACCATGTGATAAACCATCCTCAGGCAGATATGGGATCCAACGATTCAGATTTAATTTATAGTTGTTGTTTTTTTTCACAATAGTGACCAAAGTGCTCAAATGGACCCAAGTGTCAGCCAAATAGAGAACCATGTATTGGACAAATGGTCAAATCCAGTATTTATACTTATATATAATATATTATACTTGTCCAAAATGATTGGTTGGCATCCAATTTGTAATTTTCCATGTCTGTCAGCTAAATGGCGGCAAAAATGTATGGCTCAAGTGTCATCATCTGTGACACTGTGACCATTTCAAAACACAAAAATGTAATGTAGTCTAATCCCACCATAAAGTAAAGGTGAGTACCTTGAGTGTGCTAAAATTAAAAAAGGGGTGGAAAGTCTCCTTGAGAGCGTCTTCCTTCTCTCTTCAACAGTTTACGGAGACACACCATACAGTATGTTTGAGGTTTACGATGTGAAATCAATTAAACATGTGCACGTTATGTAGCCATATACTCATAGGAGTAGAGACAATAAAAGATAGACAAAGCAAATGATGCAGACACAGTTTTGTTGAGCAAATACCTTCTGACTGATCGTGTTGAGAGAACTGTCCGAACCCTGCGTCTTAGAGTAGCATCCAGGCCACCTGCTGATGAGCTGTGTGGTCTACCAAGAAGAACAGTGGGAGTGCAGGAACTTCCAGCATCTTGTCATGTATATCATTGATGAAGATCGCTGCAGTAAGTAAGTAAGTAGGGCGAGAATGCAATGTTTTATTTTGTAGAGCAACTCCCAGGTTTCTCTGCCACGTTGACACTTTCTCTGTAACAAGCTGTACCTGAAGGTGGGAAACAAAGTCCCAGGATGTACCTGCTGTTGTCACCACCACGTATGCTAAAATGTCCTATTAAGTGATGCTTAATCCCTTGAGAAACACTAAACTAGGTTTAGAATGAATAACAGCACAGTGGTGGACTTAAGTACTTTAGTCAGGCAACAAAGTACAAATAGCACTGTGTAAAAAGTCCACTCATTACTTACACTTACATTACTTACAGCTGACTTAGTGCTTAAAGTATTAAAAGTAAAAGTCAGCGTATGATTCTGGGGTATTTCCTAAATATGACCCATGCATTTTCCTCAAGCAGCAACCAACAAGCAGCAGCCGCACTGCTAACTCAAAGGAAAATTAAAGAATGACTCAAGACCATCTCAAATAAGAAACACGCTCAAGTTTTTCGGCACATAACTAAATGTGCATGCTACAAAAAGTTTACAAAAGTTTACAAATGTTCTGAAAACAACACTAAATGATAATACTAGGCTAATGTATAAAAGAAAAGCTTATAATGTATCTGCTTCCTGGTGGGTTTCTCAATGTAATGTTCATAACACTAACAAAGTGTTAGCGTAAACTTCCCAAAGTATTTTTTTGGTAGCACCATGTGGGACCATCACAGGCACTTAAAACAGTAATTATAATGAATTAATATGTTTTCATGAATGAAATCCTAAACTGCACTTGTAGGTGTGTTAATTAAGACTTGTCAAATCTACCTTAGAATAAATCAAGTATCTTCAAAATAAAAGCACAAACTCACAGTGAGGCAGGTTGCCGGTTGATAATGATGCATACTGATCCGTTTATTGTAGCTGTTGACCCGTCAACTGCATGAGCAAGCGATGCATAAACCAGTCAGGCATTTTATCTCCATTAATCTACTGTATCATCTAATGTAATGAGTGCTGGAGAGTGAGAGGGCAGTATGGACAGGCAGATGTCTAAACGTGCTAATTGGGCGATTTATTTACTCCATGCCAGGTGGTTGTGTGCAGTCTGAGGCATGGCAGCACTCCCAGCGGCAAGCGGTGACCCACTTGTATATCTGTGCCTTTTTCCTCTTTAACAAAACACTGTGCCACTATTTATAATCAAAATATTATGTTGCAACACTGAAAGCAGCTGGTGGAGGAAACTACAGGTTATTGGCCTGCAGTGCTGTAGGTGGGGAAGAGAGATCCCTGGTGGTTCTAAGAGAAACTCAGAAACATCAGATGGAAACTCAGTGAAGCTGCTAAGTGGGCTTTAAGGTTTTTAGGAATGAATGGCAAGATGAAGGGATTAATGTCACCAGGATGCTTGTTCCTGCGTGGGGGAACAGCTGATTTAGAAAACTGTTCACCACCTGCTATACTAGAAACATCTGTAGGCCAGAATCATGCACGTGATGATAGTTGAATGGCGCCACTGCCAGTCATATTGTTCCTAGTTTGTCCTACTGGCTAACAATGATACTGTACAACAACAAAGTATTATTTAGATATACTGCTCGAAAAAACAATGCAAAAATATAACCCAACACCTCAAACCACTTATAAGGTCAACTTTTACTGTTTGTGTTTTACTTTTCATAACCATAGAAGAATGTTTTTTAAACTTTAGTAGAGCTTAGAACATCCTTTTTTATGTGTAGTTTTAGTGATATAGGATATCGTAGATTTTTGTTCATGTGATTATGAAGTACAAACCAAAGCAAATGTATCAATAAAGTTACACATTTTAGCACCATATACTGTAGAGAAGGGTTGGTCCATTTAATAAAAAAATAACACCGAAAAAAGTAGTTATTTGTGTGCAATCGATCCAATAGTTGAGAAATATTTCAGCCAGGATCAAAGTATGAAGCTGCTCCACACTGCCTTCTGTAGATCAGCTTGCTCGACTAATAATATATGTTAAGCTACGTAAAAAACAGACAATATCTCCAACTGAAGAAATCTCCTTAATTTCATGATTGTTGAAAATGATAATTATACTGTTGTAATGATTCCTGCTTTCACTTTCTCCACAGCCCCACCGTCCTTTACAGCGACGCCGCCACAGTATGTGGAGGCGAAGGAAGGGGGAAGCACTCAGCTGAGCTGCTCTGCCCAGGGAAATCCAAAACCAATAATCAGCTGGCTGAGGGAGGGGGAGGAGCTTGCAACCAACGCAAAATATTCAGTAAGACCCATGATAATTCATTCTATTAATTGTGATTTATGTTTATTATAAATATAGAATCAGGGTTCACGCACATATGGTGTCATTTTCTAAGTCCATCTGTACTGGAAGTATGTTATGGAGGATCGCCTCACTCGCTATTATTATCCTGTCCTGTTGTTGGGCACCACACAATTCACATTGTTTTGGAATACGATATCTGTACAAGCATTATTATTTAAGTGAATGTGTTGATATGTCTCAGGTTACAGGAATGAAGCCTTCGTGAATTAGATGGTTTGTTGCGCTTTTAACACAGATGTCTTTATGATATCTATATGAAGTCGTGTTGAGCCTTTGACTGTTTAAAGATAGCAGTCAATGATTGTAGCGGCTACACTGTTGTCTGGTGATGCATGATTTTTATTCCTGTGGATAAACTCCCAAAAGAAGACAGTCTGATGTCATGACAATATATGTCTGGCTCAGCCTCACTGTGGTTAGATAACAGCGAAATGTTGTTGCAAGTAGCATAAACCTTCAATAACAGAACATCAGGTGGTGGATTGTGGTGTGAGTCGCACAGAATCAAAGACATTTAACACACTGTTTTATTATAAATGATGCAGAAACACCAACAGCTTCAGCAGACGATGATGCATCGCAGCCACATCTTGAATAAAAGGTGCAAATGTCACTTTGTCTCAAGTGGAAAATCTTTTGCTCTCTTGCTCTTACTATACAACCACAAGTACTCTTTCCACCTACATGTGTAGCTGTAGAGACTATGAATGCAATATCTTCAAATAATTCTTCTGAAGATTGGTATTCTTGAAAAAGCAGCAATAAGGAATATTTAAATGTGATCAGGAGAACAAAAAATTAGCAGCAATATGAATAAAGGGCTTTTTTGGTAGGTTTGAATTGTTTTTGAAAGATGGATAACTCCTTTTCCTTTTCTCATGTCCCTGATATTGCAGTCTGCTGCTATGAACTGTTTCCAGCTGTCTGCGTGATACAGGAAGTGACAGAAGCATACTGGAGCGTCTGTTAAAGGCCTCATCTTCCTTTACTCGCTTATTCCCCCTTTTTCGTCTTCCTCTAGTCGCTTCTTTTTAACACCATCCCCTCAGTAAATGATTAGACAAAATTCTGATGCATAATTAATCTCCTTCTCCTGCATCAATATTACATTAGTCCTAATATGAATGTTAGACTATAAATGAAAATAGCTAGTGAGAGCCAAATGCCATACTTCACTTTCTGCGCCGTGATACACTGAGAAATATAAAAAGCAGAGCTGTCGTCTTCCATTTGGCTGCTCAGTACAAGCCAGAGCCAAAAGCTCAAACGTGTGTGTGTGTGTGTGTGTGTGTGTGTGTGTGTGTGTGTGTGTGTGTGTGTGTGTGTGTGTGTGTGTGTGTGTGTGTGTGTGTGTGTGTGTGTGTGTGTGTGTGTGTGTGTGTGTGTGTGTGTGTGTGTGTGTGTGTGTGTGTGTGTGTCCCACATGATCAGATCCATGGAGAAAGGCAGGAATGTCACGGACAGGGTCCTCCTTTCTTTACTTTACTTTATTTATTTGCGAGGACAAAAGAGTGCCGTAAAACAAAGATACTTCACAAAACAGTTGTGCAGGAGAGGATATAAACTGAGGTGGGATTATAAACCGTCTTCCCCATAGTGTACTCAAACAATAGGCATGCAGAAAAACAACAGCAGCCTCCTGCTGTTCCACAAGCCAATATCAGTCCTTCTGGATGCATCAATGAAGTGGAACATAAATTGAGATTCTGCCTTCATCTCATGCCTCACTTTATCTACTGCTTATTCATTCCTCCTCCTCCTCCTCCTCTTTCCTGAGTTGATCTCAAAGTACTGGAGTGGACTGATGACCGCGTATCATCAGATCCTGTTAAGTCTCTGCCTATTCTAGTCAGCTACAGTCACTGCTGCATGTGTGTAAGGATTTGATTTTTGATAGATTCAATATTATGGGATTAGTTTAGTCATTTATGCTTTAAATACAGGCTTGCATCTATCTTGTAGTCCAATACTAACTGCACAATATTTACTGACACTGAGCTGTGAAAATATAACGCTTATGGAGGGACAGGGCTGCTAAGTCTAGAGATGGATCTGTTGGTCCTGCGGCACCAGAGGGAGGGACAACTGATTTAGTGAATAGCTGCTAAAAATGTACCTGCATTTACTAAATGTCAGCTGAAAGAGGAGTGAAATCAAAAACTTGTATAGATATTAACAGTACTTAATGTCAGCTTAGTAAAACAAAATATATATATATTATTTACAATGGACTAGGCGTAGCTAACAGACACATTTCCACCACTCATAGACCACACCCACCTTTTCTTTGAAAAACTGGGTGACATACTGTCGCCCTTTAGTCCCTCTCTCTTTCTCTCCTTTCTTTTCTCTTTTGAAAGCCTGACTTTGTTAGTCGTTGAGACATCGTACACACGTAAGTACTAGCATCCCTGCTCCTAACATGCTCTCACTCTCTGCTATAAAGTGCCGGCGGTGCTGCACCGCGTTTGGAGGCAGGACCAAACCATTACATGTAAATAGAGGGGGGTGTACAGAGGCTTTGGATAATTAACTTTTGGAAGAAAATAAGTTAAATGAATTGTAAGTTTAGTGAGTATATTATCAATATAACGTCCTATTAATGTTAATTCTTGATGAATGATGACTTAAACATTTTTTTTTTAATGTTCTAAAATTATTTGGGCCCCCGTGGTGAGGGTGTTTGGGGTGGCCAATAGGGTGGCCAGGATTCAGCTGGGGGGTGGCCGTGGCCACTCTCAGCCACCCCTCCGCCACCCCTCAAAGTCCCGCCCACCTGGGAGGTTTGTGTCAGAATCTCAAACAAAAAGTGAAGGAGCGCAAAAGAGAAAGCTGCAGCGAGAACAAAAGTCTGATCATTGAGAAAGAAGAAACAAGAACTGCAAACAAAAACCTATGTTAAAATAAAGAAAAAATACTTATAGTTTACATGATTACACAAATGATTTGTTTGCAACTTATAGTTTTATTTTTTAAATTAATTTTATTTTGCTTGACTCATTTATTTTTTATTTTAAACTCATAGTTTTGCTTTATTCTGAGAAAGTGTTGCTTTATCTTTATGATACAAAACTAATCCCATACAATATGAAATCCCAGAATTTTAAAGGAGGCGTGATTGCAAAGTTGATGGAAAAATGCCATTATGCAAACATTCCAAGGGCGGCGCAACCTGATTCGTATTGAGAAGAACATGTACGTGTATCTTTGGGCTCAATCTGCTTCATAAACATGCAGAGATGAGAAGAAAGAAGAGAAAGACTGAAAGAAATGAACAGACAGAACTGAGTAGAAACAAAAACACCTCCCCTTTCACCATGGCCTGTTTGTTGCAAACTAGCACACATGTATCTGTACATTGGATGTTCAGGCCAAATCAACATGGCTTCTGCAAACAATTTTGAGTAAACTGTCTGCAAGGCATTGTGGCATTCAAGGCGATTTGGGATGGACCATCAATGGTAAACATTTGAAAACAAATCTAGTTTATGCAAATGAAGGCAGCATTTTCCCGCCGGCTGTGCAGTGGTTTCCCAATAAATGCAACCAAAAAAGGAACACTGCTGGTTCAGAAAATGTACTTTGTATGTATTTTCATGGATGAATGGCTTCAATAATTACAGATAAAAATGACACAATGAGCGAGCAATGCCATTAGTTCGCTTTCGGTTAGTTTTTATAGTAAGAACACACCTTTAACACACCTGTGAGTCCACAGCACAGAAGGATTTCTCAGTGTGAGAAACAACATGAGCTTTAAACAACAGCAGCTCAGTAAAACGTACAGGTACTGTATGTGAAGGAACAGAAAACATGCAAAATCAAAGAAAAAAAGTAATCAATTTGAATCCCTTTCAACTTTTTGGAATCGATACAAAGTGATTTCCAAGCCTCCATCGGATGCCTCACAGCTCACCAGTGTTTGGTTTACACTCCTCTCGCGCTCCCAGCATGCTATGTTACGCAGCAGTGATGCACCAAGTGTTATCTTGTGATGGTGATGACACAGTTTGCCAACAGACTGACAGAAGTTAAGAGTTGCTCGTGTTGATCTACACGCAGCACTTCTCGGCTGTAAACCATTTGAAAGACAGATGAATAGGAATAATTCTGCAGGCGCAGCCGATTCCCCCCCAGCTGCATGAATGGACAGACTACAGCTGTGTGTGTTACTTGAATGGACAGAGTCTCTCGCAACCTGTTGCATAATTTATGAGGGTTTTTCTATTAGGTTTGGTTAATGTGTTTCTTCACCACTTATTGGTTCTCATCAGTAGCTGCAAACAGGGACCCGCAGCAACATGGAGTTAGACGTTTCCATGGTTACAACATGCAGGAATCAGACCTGGAGTTAATTAAAGCATTCATGACTTGTATGTGTTTGATGTGTTGGAGTAGAGCAGGGGTGTCAAACTCAAGGCCCAGGGGCCAAATCCGGCCCGCGACTTCATTTTATGTGGCCCCGCAAGAGCTTGCAAAGAATATAATACGTTTATTATACGGTTACATGCCACTTTACAGAAGCAGGTTGCCCAAAAACGACATGTCCCACAATGCATCTCGTTTTGTGACATGCGCACTGAAGAGACTTGCAATTATTTGCCCTGGACTTCTGCTTTCAGACTTAGTTAATTACTAAGTTATTATCCTATCTGATAATAATCCAATTCAGAGGCAATAATGTAATATAATACATTATTTTATATATATATTATATATTTATATAGTTACAACCGGCCCTTTGAGTGCAACCTTTATGCGAATGTGGCCCGCGATGAAATTGAGTTTGACACCCCTGGAGTAGAGACACACCACAAACTTAATTTAAGAACATGGGTGTTCTTATGTGTTGTCATGGTCAGTGGGAGACTGCTCCCATGGTACTGCTTTTATACAATTTTATTACAAATATTGTGCTTTTTGGTCCACTACAATCAAGATTGTACATATAAAAAAATATATGAACTAACAGCAGTCTGTTAGCAAAACTCTGAAAGGGACACAATATCCTCATCAAGTGCTTTTGATTATTTTAGGTATGTAAGCACACATTTCTAATACATGTTTATTTACTATTCAGTGTGTTTTAACAGTGTGGTATGGGTACCTTGACCTTGAATGATCTGAATTATGGCTGCATCTAACCATTTTTTTCAAGATCAATTAATCTGCCACTGGTTCCCTTGAGGAATCCATCACCAGAAAAAATATTCACATTCTAGAAACTCGAGTCATTGAAGTTTGAACACTATTGCCCAGAGAAAATCAAAGGATTATTTAATTACCAAATATAAAGCAGATTATCTGTCAATTGATTTATCATTGGACATCTAATCTGAATATTCCACTACTTGCCCTTTGCAACATTATGTGAATGTTTTGCATCAGAGTTTGGGTTTATATCTGTTTCTCCTCCATGTCACCACAGATACATGATGGCAGTGTCACCATCCTGGGCATCACTAGGGATGACAGAGGGGCGTACACGTGCCGGGCCTACAGTGACCAGGGAGAGGTGCTGCACACCACCCGTCTGCTGGTTCAAGGTACTGTATGTAGAGATGAAACACACTGCAGCAAGGCGCTTGCATTAGGGTTTATTCATAAGAGTTGTTGACAAATGTATCTGAACGGATGACAAGATTCTGAAATTAAAATGTTCCCTACTATCTACCTCAGGCCAAATATTGCATTTGCATCGCTGAAGTAGTTTTATTATTTATACTTGAAGGCATTTAGTGTAGCAGCATTCAAAAGCACAGCCTTGCAACTCTCTGGTGCACTGATGTATGTAACACACCTTCTGAGTCTGTTTCAGTCAGTCAATAGCTCAGTCTGGAGCTTGTGTGTGCATGTGTGTACAATACATCCATGTGTGCAGGGTCTGTCTGTGAGAGCGTCACAGTCTGTCTCCGGTCCATTAACTAGGCTCTCTGCTAGACACAGATCAGATGGATGGTTGTGATATCAGCCTCCAGTGCTATTTCTCTCTATCTCTCTGCCTCCTGATAAAGCAGGGAGTTAACACTGTGTATTTAATAAGCAACCGAGCATCTCACTCCTATGGTAGAGTTGGCCTAAGTAAGTATTTTAATGCTTGACTTCTAGGTGCAAACGGATAGGAGGTATTACTCTACTCTTTGTGCCCCGTATAGTAAATGCATGTGCACACACTCACTGCAAACACACATTAAAAAAATCATTGTGTTGTAACCCAGTAGATAGTGTAACCAGTGGTGCGTGTGATGCAACTGCATAAAGTCTGCAGGCCTCCAGCCAGCCGCCCTCTTTTAAACCACCACACTCTGCAGCAGTGGTGAGCATGTGGACTTATGGCTCTCCATGTTCTTCCATCATATCAAAACTGGACAATACTACATGTATATACTGCATTGCAATGTTAAGCGGATAACGCAAGTGCCCCGTAATTAACTAATACACTAAAAAGTAATTTTGTAGAGATAAGTCTAAAACAACGGGGGTTATTTTTTATTAGATCTTAACTTGAACATTCTTGGCCTTTTGGACAACAAACAATTTGGTGAATAGTATCACAGGACATAATGTACTCATGTACTAATCAAGTGGGAATTCTACTATATATATATATATATATATATATATATATATATATATATATATTATAATAAAAAAATTAGGTCGTGACATTATGTGAGAAAAGAGTCCTCACATTATCAGAATGAACCAAAAGTATAACAAGAAACAGGTTTTGTTTGAATGTATATTATGATAATATTGTGATGAGCACACTAAAAGGCTGTGATTGGTTATATAAACTGTAACGCTCCTGAGAAATAAAGTATTTTTTTAAATAAATGTTCAACTTTATTCAAAAAATATACTTTTAAATCCGTCTGAAAAAAAAAAGATGATTCCCGTAACTTTTCAAAAAAACACTTTTGTTTTTGGTTTCTGTTTTTTTTTTTTGGTTCAACAACCAATCAATTACGGTCCAATTTTTTTCCAGATTGTAAACCTTTCTTTTATCTAAGATGTTGTTGAGGATTTTTCCCATATGGACAGATTTTGATGATTCAGTTTTTTCAAACGCAAAACAGAAAGAAGAGTGTTCCTATCATCAAAGTACATTGTTAATGATGGATTGTTCATCAGTCTCTGTGGGGAGGAATAGTTTGTTTATGAATTGGATAACAGATACATTGGACAACATATGCTACAGTGCTCCTCAAATTGAGCGGGATAATATATCGGAAGAAGACTTTTGAATATTGGAACTTATTAAAGAAGATCTCATAGGGCTCCTTGATTTGATTACACCATGTTGTAAGATATTTCGTTTTCTGCCATGCAGCAACAACTTGAATAATGTCAGTGGGGTGTATTATACACAACCGACGAACATGCACCAAAACAGTGTTTTATTTCACCTCATAAAATCTTTTTTGTTTTAGAGTTTGGATGAACATTTGGCATGAAAAGCGCCGTGGAATAAATTGTGGGATACGATTTAGACTCAGAGCAATAACAAGCAGATATCTGAGGAGTCATGATTCTCCCTCTTGTGAGCTGTTTTTAATTGTTATGTGAGACACTCGCACAGTGCCGTCAGCGGTCCCACCTGATGCATTAAAGCTGTGCACGATGAGAGGAAAATAACCAGAAGGCTTGTATCTGGGCCCACTCATATCAGACAGCTTACCTTTCATGGCTTCTGCAGTTTTATAGAGTTAAGAGTGAACCTAGAGCACCTCTGCGATGAAAAGGTTACAATGTGAAGCATGCATAAAGCTCCAACTCCGACTACTATTAAGGTCACAGAAGCTGCCTACACACTGTATTTCACATCAGACTGTGGTGATGTATTGTAAATAATACATAGTGTGTGTTCTTTCTCACTTTGTTCCTGGAAGAAATGTCCATAATCCCATCCAAAGTGAAAGCAGAAAAGGCCTGCATATAGTTCAATATGATTTTTAAGATTTAACAATACTTTTCATCCCTTCAGCGACCTTCTCTACCGTCAATCTGTTAAAGTCAACTGTCAAAACGGTAAAATCTGATGTTATTTTATTGTATGTTTGTTGAAATGGTTATTTTTGTTTATTTTTCCGACATTTTTTCAATTGAAGTCAGTGATGAGCTAACTCCCAAGTGATATTTCAGTTGCAGTCCAGTTGCATATGTATTGTGTATTGGATGTTTTATGAAGAATGCACTGCATAACACTGTATATAACTGTTTTTCAAATGGTCATTAGGTTTTTTCTAAATATATGTATTCATTTATAAATGTTTTGATTTTACCGTCTGAATTTGAATTGTTTTGGTTGACTCGACCACTGTGTACACTTCATGCTCAAAACCAGACGACAGACAGATACAGTTAGCCATTAGCAGCTGAACATTGTGGAGCATATTTTCCTCAGGAATTCATGAAGACCAAAACAGAAGCCTTAAAGTAAATATTTGACTTTCATTCATCAAGACACCAGATACATAACTCTGAATAAATGCTAATATGGCTCCATGTTAGCCAAATTAGCAGTCAAGTTGTAAATTAGCCACTGTGTAAAGCTTATTCCCCCAAAAAACTGTCTACTAGCTTTACAACAAAACTAGTAGACAACTAAAACTAATACACATTGTTTCTCATTCTCTCAGGGCCTCCATACATCGTCTCTCCACCAGAAAACGTCACTGTCAACATATCCCAGAATGCACTCTTCACCTGCCAAGCGGAGGCGTATCCTGGCAACCTGACCTACACCTGGTTCTGGGAAGAGGATAACGTCTACTTTAAGAAGTAAAGTTATGCTCAAGTTCACTTTTGTGTTGAAGCTCAGGGAAACATCTTAGTTAAGAATATATGGCTTTTTTACTGGCACTTAAATCACCACACAGGCTGCATTTATTTCAAACCTTTGTGATGTGAGTGACATCATGTGTCTCTGTGATGTGTTTTTGAGTTTGTGTGTCAATATGCATGTGTGTGTGTGCTGGTGTCCTGTCCTCCTGCAGCCCCAGAGGCAGTAAGAGGTCGCCGGGCGGGGGGGGGACAGTCTGGACAGTGCCAGTGAGCTCTGATGATAATATCACATGACTCAGGCCTTGTGTCATCATATGCCTCTCATGCAGCGATGCTCTGAAGCGCAGCCAGGACCTCCACAGGCAGGCCTTTAGAGTCTGCTTTACAGCGGACAAGTGACAGAACAAGTGAAAAGGAAGAACAAGTGAACAGGAGTTTGACAGGCAGCGAAAACAAGTGTTCAAAGGACTACCACAAAAGCAGGCACTGAAATGACAGATCTAATTCTTCTTGTTATGTGAGGAGGCAGGTTTAAGGCCTATCTGTGGGTGTAGGAGTTCAAAAGTAGTAACAGTATCTGTGAGTTTTATTACTTTATTTAGTATTTTTTAACTCTGCCAAGGAGGTTATATTTTTGGCTTGGTTTGTCTTTCAGCAGGATTACAAAAAATATATATATATATATATATATATATATATTTGCGATTTAATGAAACTTGGTGGATAGGAGCACAGGCCAAGAAATAATTATATTTTTGGAACAGATATGGAACATATAAATTATGTTTAGTTACCATAGCAGAATAGGTTATCAGTGGTGCATTCAAAATAATTCATAATAATCTGTAAAAAACGAGTTCCCAACTGGGAAATTTCATTTGAATTAAAAATTAATTAACTTATACTCTGCAGATCCGTTATAAGCCATTAGGAGCAACAGTTGGGTTTCTGATTTGTAACACATATTTACTGTATTAGGTTGTAATGCAGTTGTATAAGTGTTCGTAATCCATAAATCATGCTTAATAAATTGTTGTTTGGATTTTGTAAGGTCCAATCGGTTAAAGGGATTTCTCACAACCTGGTTACAGAACTATTGTTCTTATTAATTACCATTACGAACCTTTATAAATCAGGATCTTCTTAAAAGTGGTTTTGTTTTATTTCTGGACATATTCAGTTTGAGCTTGAATTGCGTGGCATGAAAAGGAAAGCAGCTCCATTTAAAACAAAAACAACAACAAAAAACAGAAAATGTGCTCCATCATCACAGTCATTTTAAATGCCGTAAAGGGCGAACCATGAGGGCTGTAGTATTTGGCGATTATGGCAATTAGCAGATTTATTTGAACGTCTTGCTCTGTACTCTGTGTTCTTTCTATGAGAGACAGCTGCTGTTTGACTCTCTGCTGCTCCCTTATGGCTCCTTCATGTAATTCAGCACAAGGAGCAAATAGATGTGTGCCCTGTCCTGATGGTGTGTTTCTGTAACACGATGTGTGTGTGTCTCGTTGCAGTGATCTGAAGCTCCGAGTGCGCATCCTAATCGACGGCACACTTATCATCTTCCGGGTCAAGCCAGAGGATGCTGGGAAATACACCTGCAGTCCGAGCAACAGCCTCGGTATCTCCCCCTCGGCATCAGCCTACCTGATTGTTCAGTGTGAGTGTTACCCTGGCAACAAAGTGGATGGGGGAGGGGCGGGGAGACGGTACAGCGAGCTGTGTGAAGAGGAGTGTGAGGGAACAGTAGTATGGAGGCTGCTGTATTTGGCAGCGCTGCTCTGCCACTGTAATGCAAAGTAACCTTCTTGGATTTCAAGGTCAGACATGACAGAGAGTCACATAGTTTGTTTGGACCCAGCCTCTTAAACATTTCCATATTCTGAGTGGATTTTAATGATACAATTATTATCTATCCCGCCTCCAGCTTCAATCCTGAATACAAAGATGGAGACAGCCTCGACCTCAGACTCCATTTTTTTCCATCGTCTCTTTTGAATCTGGTTACCCCAAAAATAAAATGGTGACCTCTCTGCTCATCAGCGCTGGGGTGAGACAGAGAAACGTCACTGCTGCCCATCTGAGGTTCTGTCAAATCCTCGGGTGATGAGCCAATTTTCTCCCAAGTTTCCGCTGCTCAATGATTACTGTGCTACAGTATGAGAGAGAGCAGGGGATTCAGAGGCACTGCAGCCACTGATTTCATCACTACACTGAAATACAGCCGACAAGGATTAAAGCAGTGGCCAGGATGCGGCAAAAAGAACATTATTTAGCTCTGTTTATATGAAGCATCTCAGAGATAAAAGGTTATCCTACTGTTTGGCTAAAAATCACTTGAGAGTAATTTATTAAGGGTCTTTCAATAACTTTTAGCCAGGGACAGGACCAATTCATTGAAAATCTCGATTCCATGTTGTAATATGAACCAATAATAAAAAGCTGAAAATATAACCAGTTTTTAATATGTTGGTTTGATGTGTTAAGGTCAAATACTTTCATACTATAACATATTTGTAAAGTACAATTTTCCCAAAAATTATTTTAAAGAGTATAAATGATGAAAACAATCAGTCAAAATTATATTTACAAAAAACACATTAAGAGAATAAAACATTGATAAGCCAACATACATAGAGTAAATGTAATATGTGTAAATGCAAATGTGAAGATAAGAGGTCATTTGAATCTAACACTACATCCTTGTACAACCTTTAGTACTTACCTTTTCAACTTCACCTCTTTATTCCTAGCAATGAACCCGTTTGTTGTTTTCTGTATTACATCAAACTAAATTGATGATGCATCTCGGATCCCTGACACAGATATTTACTTTCCCTGCAGACCCTGCCCGTGTGATCAACATGCCGCCTGTCATCTATGTCCCACGGAAACTGCCAGGCGTCATCCGCTGCCCGGTGGACGCCAACCCGCCTGTGACATCAGTGAAATGGGAGAAAGACGGCTATCCCCTCAGAGTAGAGAAGGTTAGTGCTCATTAGTCTCCTCTTGGTGTTACAATACATTTACTGTCACACTTTAAATAAACCAGAAATGTGCATAATATGTCACCTTTAAAGCATATAGTGAGTTTTTTTAGATGATTGTAATGGATCAATATACTGCTTTTACCACTGTCCTTAGATTTCAGTGTAACAGATAATTGAAGCTGTCCTTTTCTTAAGAAGAATTCCTTCATTTTCAAACAAGTGTCAAGTAGATAAAGTATCTCTCTGCTCAGAGCGCTCCATCTGCTGCTCTTTTGATTTAATCTACTGTCACTGAGGTCACACAATATGTTGCCCCGCTGTTGACAGCAGGCCTGCATTACATAAGCATCCACTTTAAAAAAAAAAAAGGGGCCTGTAATCATGATGTCCGCTTGTCTTTCAGTACCCCGGTTGGAGCCTGATGCAGGATGGCAGTATCAGGGTGGCAGAGGCAACAGAAGACTCCCTGGGCACCTACACCTGTGTGCCTTACAACGCCCTGGGTACCATGGGCATGTCCCCCCCTGCCACTTTGGTGCTAAAGGTACATCACTGCTCCTATTTGTTCTGTTTGCGTCATGTTACACTGATGTGCCCAGAAGACTGCATAATAGGTCTTGTGTTTGTATGTTTTCTCCAGGATCCCCCTTACTTTAATGTGAGGCCTGGGGGGGAGTATCGCCAGGAGGCTGGGAGAGAGCTTACTATCCCCTGTGCTGCTTCTGGAGACCCTGACATACCATCCATTACCTGGAGAAAGGTACAATTCACAATAACAGCATGAATTCACTCCCATTGAATCTTGTCAGCAAATGTGCATTTACATTTTTTAACCATGTAACTGTAGTTTCCATGTCCATTAAAGGTGGGGAAGCCGAGCAAGAGTAAGCACAACATCCTACCCAGTGGCAGCTTACAGTTTCTGTCCCTCAGCAAGGAGGACCACGGAGAATGGGAGTGTGTAGCCACCAATGTGGTCACAAGCATCACTGCCAGCACGCGAATCCTAGTCATCGGTATGAAAATCTGCACATGGCTCTCAACTTCCTCGAACATATGACCTTTCTCAGTTATTTTGAGTTCATCGTGACCTCACTTTGCTGTGTGTGGTCTGAGTGATTTGCATGATAAGACCCTCATTCTTCAAACACCTTGAGTCTGCCCAATTTCCCCTTGGGCATCATTAAAATTGCATTAGATCCTATCTGAAATAGCTTTATAAAGTTAATTTAAAGCCTGACTCTGTAATTACAGTGTGATATCCTTCCCTCTGCTCAAAATGGTAACTACACCCTTTGTCTTTTTGAGTCATGGACCAAGGACATCTTTATGAACTTTTATGACATTTTTTAAGTGTCGACAAAGGCAAGCATAACTGTACTGTGAATTTCCAGATACCCAAATGTTAAAACTACAAGCCCCTCATGTCAAGCATTGTAGAAATGTAATCAGTTTTAATGCAAATTCTTGGGGTTAGAATTAGATAACTAGTTGTAATACTTTTAAGTAGCAGTAATGGAAGGCATTCTGAAAATATAAATGTCTTACACAAAGTTGTGTAACAGCCTTACTAACTTGTGGTTATCATGGAAACTAAAGGATATAAAATATACATATAATAATCGGAGGCCAACATTTTCTTTTTATTCTTGTGGAAACATTTATCTTAAGGCTAGAAAGATATATTCATATACTCAATTTATTTAATATTTGCAAAATCAGGACTCATTTTCTCAATGACTCAAAATGTTTTCACTGGAAAGAGCACAATTGTTTCTTTTACTACATTAGTGCTTAAATAGAAGACATGTAAATGTGTATTCCTTGTTGAAGGAATAGTTCAACATTTTGGTAAATAAGCTTTTTTAGACAAGAAGATTTACAGCCTGCAGCTAGTTAGCCTAGCTTAGCCTTAAGACTGGAAACAGGGAAAGGTTATCCTGGCTCAATCCAAAAGTTAAAAAAAGATTACCAGCCCTAAGTAATACACAAGGATTATTTTTATTTAATCTGAACAAAACAAAAATACTTTATGCTTACTTTTTACTCAGCTAAGTAATTGTCTTCTGGCTGTAGCCTCCTTTTAAAAATATTAGTAAGCTTGTTTCTCGGACTGAGAATTATTCCTTTAAATCTTTTTTTTATGCATGTACAGTAAACGGTCTGTAAAGTCACAAACCCTCAAAGTACACCCTGTAGCGAGTAAAACTCTAACATGGAAAATACCTGTCTATGCTGCCCCAGAACGCCTCGTTGGAGATTTTTCTTTTTCCATTTTTTTCTTCCTGAGTAAAGTGACGTAACGAGTATAGTGACGTAGCACACACACACTCACTCAGCCTTATCTTTTTTCAGCCGCGGCTCCGCGGATATCCGCACACACATACTCACTCAGCCTTATCAGCCGTGTGTGTGTGTGTGTGTGTGTGTGTGGGTGTGTGTGTGTGTGTGTGTGTGTGTGTGTGTGTGTGTGTGTGTGTGTGTGTGTGTGTGTGTGTGTGTGTGTGGTGTGTGTGTGTGTGTGTGTGTGTGTGTGTGTGTGTGTGTGTGTGTTGTGTGTGTGTGTGGTGTGTGTGTGTGTGTGTGTGTGTGTGTGGTGTGTGTGTGTGTGTGTGTGTGTGTGTGTGTGTGTGTGTGTGTGTGTGTGTGTGTGTGTGTGTGTGTGTGCAGGCTGAGTTCAGCTGTGTCTCACTGTCTCGCAGACCCCACGCAGCAACCAGGAAATGACACCAGTAATCCAGCTCACATTGTCCGCTCCTCGAGCCTCAAAAGGCGGAGCAGCGAGCCCCGCAACGTCCCGCCAACACGGCACCCAGACCCCACGCAGCATTCTCATCTGTTTGTCATTTTCTGGTTGCTAATAAACGCCATTGTAACACATAATCACTGATGTTCCGCTGTAACGGTGGTGGACTCATCGGAACAGAGTGGGTGAGCTGAACATTGAACAATGTAAATCTATTCTAGTAGACCTCAACAATGGAATTATGATCAGTAGAAATGGCCATGTCATGGGATCTTTAAGTATTGTCTGCTGGTCTTCGACATATGAGCAGGTCACTCAGTCTGCCCCAGTAACCCGTGCCCCGCAGCATGAGGAGGGGTTTCACTGTGGCCCAGCTGGCAGCGTTCAGCCGGCCTCTCCGTGTGACCGGCTCTCAGCTGACAGGTGTCGCAGGGCAGAGGAGGCAGCTGTGCTCAGGTCTCTCCTTTATGAGAAGTAACTGGCTTCGGGCCACACAGCACATCTGTTGCGTGGGTGGGATGAGCAGAGCTGCAGACAGCGCTACTGCTCTTTAACTAGACCTTACGCTGGTCACCACCTCAGCCAGAGTCGCATTATTACACCGAGAACGGGCGGGCGCATGATACAGCACAGCATTTTAGAGGTGCAAACATCAACAAAATGCTCATCGTTTTACTTGAGGTGCATTGTGAGCCCACATTATGTGAATAAATCAGTAATACACCACCCATGTTAATATAATATCTATATTATCTCACTGCAAGCTATATTAAATGCTAATCGTAAGCTGAAATATATATATATATATATATATATATATATATACACACACACACAAGTAAATTGGTAGACTGTGGTCTTTTAAATGTATTCCGTTCTTCCCTCTCTCTGTCCTGATCTTTCAGGCACCAGCCCACACGCTCCTGGCAACATCCACGTATTGCCCTCCACAACCTCTGCTAATGTGTCCTGGGAACCAGGATATGATGGCGGCTTCGAACAGACATTTTCTGTGTGGTACGGTCCAGTGTGAGTGCTCTTATATTTAACTTCAAATCACTGTCTGCAGCATGCAGATGTGGAAACGCTTCCTGTGGGTTAAAGGCCTAGTTTAACAAACATGTTTCTCCTGCCTTTATGATCATACAATATGTTAGAAATTCAACCCTAAGTATTTCTTTGGACAGTATATTTATTGGGGTTTTCAGTAGATGTTGTTGCAATGCAGTCACACTCAGCAATATACATAAGTCACATGCACCATATAGGTTCAATAAACTGCAAAGCTTCAGCAGGTAATTAGAGAACAACACTTTCTTGAGACTAATGAGCATATCTTTCACTATTGTTTTAAGTTTACCATTAAAATTATGAATATTTTTTTTCTGTTCTGCCCTATTTCTGTTCTCAGGTCAAAAAGAACAGACTTTGGGCCTCACGACTGGCACTCCATGCCAGTTTCTGGGGCTCAGACGTGGTTGGTGGTGACAGGGCTGGAGGCCGGGACAGAGTACCAGTTCAGTGTGTTGGCGCAGAACAAACTGGGCACGGGCCCATTCAGCCAAGTTGTGACAGTCAACACTTTAGGTGGGTTCTCAATTAAAGGAAACTTGACTGCAGAATTAAATCAGCGACTTGCACTATTTCTATTTTCCAGAATGTCTTCAGATGCCATTCATGAGATTCTGCGCTGTAGTTGTTTTTAAATGAATGTGTACATAATACTAGGGATGGGGCAGACATGTCATCCTTTACTTCCTAAATCCTGTACCTCTTCACTTTTATTGTTTTATGTTGATTATCAGAATAAAATATCTCTAAACATTGTTCTTTTTCAACAAAAAAGATTATTCTGCAATTTAATGAATGTGCCTAATTTTAAAATGTAATAAAAAAGGACTGTGTGCCCGTTGGATAAAAAAAAACATTCCAATTTTTATAAAAAAACAATGCACATGAGCTGAGACCAGCTGACATTCCTTAAATAGTGAATTTGTTCTCATGTGCTGAGTGAATGTACTTGTCATAGCAGGAGAGCAGAGGTGTAACTAATGACAGTAATGATGGCACTGTTCCATTTAGGTGTGCCAATAAGCCTGCGTGCAAAATACCACAGTCATTATTAATGTTATTAGTTCCACTTGTGTTTAACAAGTCAACATGTTCAGAGAGAAATATCTATTAATGTTGTTACTCAGAGAATGTAGCCGCTGTAGCTGTTTCTGATGTAGAAAAAGGAGCAGATTAACATTTTGTATTTTTTTCACATTTTGTGTGTTGTAATCCAACTCATGCCTCAAGGGCATGTTGCCAATATCCAGTCTTAGTGTCCCAATGTCTGAACTGAATTAAAAGTGAATGGTAAATAAAATCAATGTCTCAGCAAAAAAAGGCATGAAGGCAGAAATGTGCATTGCTGTTTTTTCTAACATACAGTAGAGAGTATGGAGGCTGCTGTATTTCCTTACATATGGAAATCATTGTCTGAATAACTTTCCCTCATGTTAACTTTCTTGTCCAACATGTGTTGTCCACAGGCTCTCCTCTGGGTACCCCAGAACCACTGGTGCTTCTTACTCCACCACGGTGCCTAACAGCCAATCGCACGCAGCACGGTGTCCTCCTCACATGGCTCCCTCCAGGCAACCACTCCTCGCCCATCGACCGATATATCATGGAGTTCCGCCTCGGGGAGAGGTGGGAGGTTCTGGATGACCTGATCCCGTCCACCGAGACCGAGCTCATAGCCAGAGACCTCGTTCAGGTCAGTTACAAATACATGCAGTCCATACAGAAACATGGCTGTGTAAGGTGTGGCAAAGGGGTAATTGACTGGAAAGTTAATTAAGAGAGAATATTGTAAACAATATCCCTATTTCATGGTGACGAGCATAATCTACATTAAATGTGATTTGCTTTTATCAAAAGCGATTTACATAGATGCAGTACTGTGGACAATCCCCACAGGAGCAATTTGGGGTGAAGTGTCTTGCCCAGAGACACAACGACATGCTGACTGCAGTGGGACTCGAACTTGCGACCCCTGATTCGAAGTCCAGCACTGTATCCACTTAGCCACAGTAATCTAGTTATCATTTCATTTTTAAATAATTATAACATTTCTACACAGTTCACATTTGTATGCACATGATTTAACGTTCAGCTTAAATGTTCAAGAAATGGTGTCTTTTTTTTCGCCTCACTGCAGTATAGTGCATTTTGAAAAATGATTATATTTATAAATTACAAAAAGTGAGTTTGTGTAACCTACATCACAAAAAAAGAAATTCAAACATGCTCGTTACAAGGTATAATCTCCTTTTAGTACGCGTAACAATAATAAATAAAGTAAACATCCTTTTATTATCTAAATGTCACCTACTGTATACACAGGTCAGTTTTCAGAGTCACAAAGTGCTTTTTGAACAGGATCCAGTAACTTTGACACGAATCAGTGCATGAGACGGTCACGGGACAGTGTGTATGTTGTCTCTCTCTCACAGGAGTCCTGGTATGAGTTTCGGGTGATGGCTGTCATGGATGACCTGATCAGTGAAAGCAGCAACGTAGTGGGAGTGTCGAGCACCGGTCAGTTTTTTTTTATGATGTATTACAAACTGGAGTCCTTAAATAGATATGTGAGTTTTGTGTTAAGTCCCGTTTGACCCTCCTGTCTGCCCCATCAGATCCCTTCCCTCCTGCGGAGTTGCCTGATGAGGGGCTGGCGCGGCCGGTGGTGGCGGGTGTCGTGGCAACTATCTGTTTTCTGGCAGCAGCAGTACTGTTCAGCACTCTAGCAGCTTGCTTTGTCAATAAGCAACACCGTCGTAAACTGAAGCGTAAACCAGGTCCGCCTCCCACTCTACTTTAACCCACATTTAATAAATATAGTAGATGTTTGACCATGGATGAATGACTTCTGAGCCTACCACGACCATTGGGTGAAAGTGCAAGATAATAAATTAAATGACTACAACGGGATGCAAAACAAACAGAAAGAGAAACAACACAATGGTTGTTTTGAGTTACTCTTATTTAGGATGGATAAGGTGCCTTGTACATGTCCAAGGGGTCCATTGTCTCACAATACACCCATGTGTCTGACTATGTCTTATGGTTTTAAACAGAGGGAAATGCTGAATTCAAATGTTTTTGTCCTCTCAGATCCTCCCTTGTCGGTGACACACTACAGGAAAAGCATTGAGTCACCGTAAGTAAGACTAAATGCCAAAGATCCTGCGGGACGCTACTACTGTCCAACTTCTAATGCACCTTTACCAAAATGCCTCTTCCTATGTATTCTGAGACGAGGCATACACTACATTTTGACAATAATAACAGTTAAAACTAAAAAATTATTACATTTACTTTAAACATCTGGCAACTGGAAATACTCTTTTTCGAGCCTTGTTTGTAGAACTGATTATAATGCACATCATTGCCTTCTCTATCGCATTTAAGTAAAAATATCCGGACAGTATAGGCACACAGAATAAGCAAAACCCAAAATGGATGATATAAAAACACCATGATTATATGTTTGGGCAACTTGAAGGGTTTGGAAGAACATGAACAGTAGCAGCCTCTAGCGGATCAGTGGCAGATTAAAGAAAGTTAAAGCAGCAAAGTCAGCATTTTAGGCACATTACCCAGAGTGCCCAAGCTGCAGTATGTGTATTGATTTTTGATCCATCTGTAATCTTAAACGCTGTCTGCATTCTGCATGATTCAAATCGTGTAATAATGCTATTTTATGTTTAGCTGCACATTTAATGTACAGTCCGCTACATGTGTGTATTTGTCTGTCCGTCTGTAAATCTTGTTACATTTATGACTGCATTTCAATTTCATTTGTGGATATAATCTATGTAAAATCACATTCAAGAATAAATGTGTGTCTGCCTGAGACTTAAGATAAACCGTCAGTATCAGATACCTTGTTTATTTTTTTATGAAATGGTAGGTCAGGAAGTTCAACCTTAGTCCTTCCTGAAGTGGCATAGTCAAAGATGAACCAGGCCCATGTCATTTGTCTCCAATCGCAGGCCTCCTCTCACCCCCTTGCCAGGGGTAGAGCCCTGCTGGGATGAGCCTGCCAGGAGCAGTTTCTTGCCCCCGCCCGCCAGCCCCCTGTGAGTGCCTGCCTGCACCAAAATACAGAGTGTGCTGCACTGCACTGGCTTGGCTGCATGGTTAAAGCATTGCATAGAAATTATCAACTGACTATTTGTTGTAGTGAAGCCTACCGTTGGCCTATTTGCATGCACTAACTCTCACGCACCATACAGGGATTACTTTGCATTAGCTCCATGCATGTACAGTACAGTTCAGTACTGTGTATATGCACTCTTTACTCTGTATGTCTATCTGATGCATTCACTGACCCAGTAAGTGTTGACTATGCTGCTCCTGGTGTGGGCAAATGAGGCCTGGTTAGATGTCATCTGCTTTCCTCACATCACCATTTGGTGCAGCATATGGAAATTGCTCTCATGTCTGCTCACGAAGATTTAGATTCAATAGATTTGTGATACGGTTGTCATGGTTGCGTCACTGGTTCTCCTCTCATCCAGTCATTCTCGCTTCATTAGCTGTCAGGATGATGCCGCCGTCATAAACTGGTCATTATCATAATGTGGTTCATTATGACTGCCTTAATAGAGTGCTTTGGCTATGTCTTGTGTCATCTGTTGAGCTTGGAAATGAAACCACAATCATGCCTATTCATTTACTGCATCAGACAGTTTTCTTTTGTTTAAGACACTTCATTCACCTACCCTTTAGGTTTCATGTGTTAAACTAAGACAGTGCCTTTTGTCTGCATTTTTTTGATCAGGTTATCATCTGGGAAAATAAGTCCAGAGAGCTCTCCTCCATCTAGGCCCCGCTCTCTTTCTTCAGACGGGTCCCAGGGCCCGGGGCTGTACGTCAGGAAGCTGCCCAGCCCTCTGAGGGATCGAGACAAAGAGCTCTCCTTCTACAAGAAAACCAAGCGTGCCATAGCCAGCAAGAAATACAGTGTGTCAAAGTATGAGTCAGAGGTCACCACGCCTATTGAGCTGATAAGCCGCGGCCCTGATGGCCGCTTCACCATGGAAAGCCCACCGGCCCGCCGCATCCACGGCTTCCCCTTCGCAGAGGAGTCTGACATGTACCCCGAGTTCCGGCAGTCTGATGAGGAGAATGATTTTGACCCCGGGCCTCTGCCGCCCATCATGCCCACGCTGCGGCCCCAGCTCTCCCCAACGTCCTCCAGCCTGGAGTCAACGCAGCCCCCCAACTACAGCCCCCGCCTCCACAGGGCCATGGAAGGTATGAGCTTTGCAGAGGGCAGTGCACTTCACGCCTCAGGGCAGGCCCCGGCCTCCCGCTACAGGGGCTTTCCCCAGGGCCCGTTCTATGGGTATCTAGGCAGCCGCATTGAATCAGGGATTCCACCACCATTCTACATGCCTGACATCAGCCCGCGCAGCTCTGCTCTGTCCTCCCCCCCAGGCACCGCCGAGGGGCCCTTTGGTTACCCCTCCATCCCTGAGGAGAGTGGCGAGATGGAGCACCATCAGTACACTGCCTCTGGCCATTCTCTGTCGCACACACACAGCCCTCCGTGCTCTCCTGACAGCTGGCAGCCTCATGAGTTACCCTTCCTGGGTCTAGAGGGCCCACGGTTCATATACCCGCCTCACCATCCCTTGCATCATTCCCAGGACCTCCCTGATCCACCCCCATACCCTCCTCACTCTCACCCCCACGGTCGCCTGCACCTCTCTTCCCTAAAGGACCCATCAAGCCCTGGCCTCCTGCAGCTGGAGGTCCCTATGGCTCCCCAAGGCAGAGACCGGCCCATGGGGCCCCCGGTTAGGCGTTTAACTATGCAACAGGCCCAGAGTCTCGGCCATCTCAGACACACGGCCCACGGTGTGGGTGTACCAGTGTTGCCTTACCCTGACCCGGCAGCCCGTGCAGGGAGCCCAAGCACAGCCCCCAGTAGTAGCCCTCAGTCATGGCTCAGCCCGAGAGCGCATCGCCGGGCAGACCCCAGCCTACCCCCATTAGTACTCCAGCCCTCCCGCCTCTCTCCACTTTCCCAAAGCCCCCTTAGCACCCAGCCAGGTTCTCCAGATATCCTAGTGCGGCCCCCTCCCCGCCCCAGCATCCTCCGCACCTCTCGGTCTCTGGAGATGCATGAAATCTCCCTGCAGCCCACTGTCAGTTTCTCCCGGAGGTCTTCCCCGTCCGCCTCTCCCACTCAGAGCCATGCCACCAGGCAACCCAGCCCCAGTTACCACGCCCACATGTCCTATGCCTCCACTGCAGCCAGTTACCCCTCCCAGTCCCCCTCTCCCCCTCTGGAGGGCAGGGATGTATTCGGGCAGAGGCCGTCCCAGAGAAGGACGGAGGAGGAGATGCTGCCCTCAGAGCCCTCTCAGCTCCAGATATCAGCCTCAGGGTAGGTGATCCATTCCAGTAGAGAATAGTCACATATTTATTTAAAGGGGAGACTTCTCTTCTCGTCTGCTCTCTTTTCCAAATTTCCTCGGTATTTATCCACAGTTTTAATTTAATGTTTCCATTAAGGAATAATTAAGATGCATATTGTACTTTGATATGCAGAAGTCATGTAATTGCATTTAACACACAATGTACCAATTCATAAAAATGACATTTCCTAAACCTGTTGGCATGTGAAAACTCAATTTGATTTTGATATAACGAATTATTGTCTTTATCATTTGATAGCTCTTAAATTATCTCATAAAACAATTGTCACAATGAAAATGTAGGTAAAACATAATTACTGCAGGAACATTTAGACGACACACTAGATGCTATTTTTACTCTAAAGTTTACTGTTTTAAAAACTGTGCCATTTCTTTCTTTCCCCCTTAAAGATTGGAACGAATCAAAAGTTATGTTCTTGCTCAACTTTAACAGTTAACTTAACTGTATCTGTTTTTACAGTTACATACATTGTATTACACTATAATACAAAGAAAATGTTCACTTTCTGATAAATCCACTTTCTTTAAAATTATAAGCCACAACTAAAGGCTTTATTCATGTTTTTTAAACTGTTAAAGTATCTTTAATTTAAACGTTATAATCCTTATATAAGGAAACCACCAGGTCTCAGTTTTTTTTTAAAACTAAAACTTGGTGTCCCATTTTCTAATAGGCAAACATACAAACTTAGTAAGTCATCTGGACAGTGTTTATAAATGTTAATATGTCATTAATATATTGCAGTAATTCTAGTCTAGAGCAATACCAAAGATTATACTTAAAAGCACTAAAGTAGTAGCCTTAAATACAAAAATACCAACATTACAAGTACTTTAAAAATGGTATGCTATCGGATTCTAAATATTTGTGCATCTATTCATTGTTGGCAGGACTAACTTTAGGTAATTACACCTCTAGGTATCCAGTCAATAAAACTCCTGAAATCAATATATTTGTGTAAAATAATACATCAGCATTTATTTGTTGATGATTATATATTACATTATTATCTCAATTGGTAGTGTAAATGGTACGTATCCTTATCAAATATATTCCATGCAATGGAGCATAAAGCAGCAAAGGATTTGAATTATCTAGTGCCCTAGCACTATTAAACTTACCCATTTACTTTACTGTACATTTGTGATGTATATACGTTTTAGACAAAAAGCTCTGCAGCCAAAAAAGCCACAAGATAGCTACCCTAAATAAGTGATGTGTTATAATGTATTAGTAAGTGATTTATCAACAATTAATAAAGCAGTTAGAAAAGGTTAGAAATTGCAACATTCTGTATAAGTATATAGATATATAGATACAGTTTCCTAAATAAATAAAACTATTAAATCTCATTAGAAGCGACAGTCTGATAGATCAGAGCCCCGTACACAGATTAGCAGTCATCACCCAGGAGGTTTTGTTTTATATACACCTATATAACAATATAGCTGAGACTCATATACTTTTATGGCCCACAGTCATGTCATGTCTTTACTGCACACATTCCTGTGCCCCTCACACCCACCTCACACCCCTAGTCACTACAACCATACAGTAGCTAAAGCCATGAGGCAGAGCCCTCACTCCAGCACCATCACTGGCCTCTAAGGGAAGGTAGCTTATAGGGCTGCTGCTTTATAGAGGGTAAGGGTCTTACGTGATTTGTTTTTGATTGATCTCAGCTATCTGGGCAGCGTTGTGACCCGGTCCCCTACGCCGCAATAGGTAAGGGTCGGACCCATGTCTGAGAGGGAGGGGTCAGCAGGGGGAGGGCTCTAATCACTCTCTCCTTTAAAGGGGAATCGCTTTGGGTTGTGCCTCTGTGCTGGATTCAAGTGAAGTACAACTAATGGTAAAAATTACTGCAGGACACATTCGTCAATACTCTTCCCAGGCACAGTAAGCCTGCTGCGGCATAGGCTGCAGTTTTTAGGCTTGTGAGCAAGCACGAGGAGCGGTTTTGGACTGTGGAGAAGCATTTTTGTCTTTGGATTGTATTTTGAATACAGACATGTTTCCCTGCAACCAAAACAAATAAGCCTTGAATCAATAGAGGACGCACATGACTGATAGACTGGAGTATTCCCCTTTAAAGTTTTGTTCCATGTGCAAAATGCCATGCATGCATTCTCTAAACTTCTCTCTACGACCAAACAAATAACAACAATTCTCAAACTAAATTCTTTGTCACATTTGTTGTCCTAAGTGCTTTCGTTTTTCTGTCATGTGACTGTTTTTTAATGGCCATTTCCTCTTCCTGTCATGTGACTTGTTCTTTAACGGCCATTTCCTCTTCCTGCCATCTCCTCCCGTCAGCATGGTGAAGCCTCTGTACGCAGTGTTCATGTTTATGAAAGTGTGCTGTACAGTGTTCATGTCTATGGAAATGTACTTAGTTTAACACACTGTGGCCCCAGCACACAGTGTATGTGATAATTAAATTGTTCTCTATCTGTCCAGGACTGTTTCAAACATTTGTCTCCCCCTCTCTGCTAATGGCTCTCACTCTCTCTCTCCACAGTGACAAATGAAGGACAAGCATCTCTAAAGTTTTGTGTTCCCTATGCCTTTTGAAACAATCTATTTTTCGCCCAACAACTTGACTTAATTTGACATTAAGTCAAGTTTTGAAGCTGTTTGTTTTTCAGTTAATTGAAGTGCTAAGACATTAAGCAGATACTGAGACTCTGAACTTTAGAGTTTGTGAGGTTAATCAAATTTCATTTAATTACATCTTTCTATGAGAGATGACCAACAAAACCAGAGTATTCTGTGTGAGGTAAACTGGTATTCTAAGACAAAGACCTTACCTTGATGTCATTTTTTAACATTGATTGTTATGATTTAACTTGCATGTATCACTCATGAAATGAAAATAGTTCATAGAACAGTATTTATAGAACACATCTGAGCACACTTCATATTACGACTTAGATATCTCTTTTGCTCTACTGTTAAGTAAACTGAGTGATGTTGGAAGATATTTCAAAAGTACATTTAGGCTTGATTGATACGGGAACAGTCATTTTAAAGTTGCTGAAATTATTTTCATTTTATGAGTTGTATACAGCAAAGAGAACAATATATTGTCCGCATTTCTGAAGCAGTCACTTTTTAAAGACCCCCAAGTAGTGAGCACAGCAATTTCAATAATTGTCTAAACCGTTATTCCAAGACTACAAGTCCCTTATTTAAAATTACAACATGGGACCAAAAATAAGTACATTTGTAACACTTTACCTTTTAGGAGTAATGTGTGGTATACAATTATGTTATCCCAATAAATCCTGGACTGGGTCTTTAATGTAATGATTGTTTCAGACATAATAAATTCACCATCTCTACATTATGTCAATTTATCTTTCTTTCTTTCTCTCACTTTCTCATTTCTGTCTCATCCTTCTTTCTTTAAATCTAACTTTGATCATCCATCATTGCAGATAGAAAGTGGACATTCATCATCTTAGTTAAAGGGCTCTCAGTAGAAGTACAAGAGCTCATCGAACCATAACATAATGAAAATAGCTATGCAAAGTGTATTTCTGCTGTTGACATGTGGACGGGCCCGCACATGACTGTTGGATTAACGGAGCAACGTGTGCTGTGCTGTCTCTCTTCTTCTCAGAGAACTTCTAGGTGTGTCTAGTGATCCTGCCGGGTCTGAGAGCTTACCAGCACTGCTACACCACTGTATTACGAAAGCCAAGGGAGGGGCTGCCAACAACAATAACAACACAACCTCCGTAAGAAGAACAGGTTCGTCTGACGCTTAGAAAAAGTGTCTCTGAAGCACTTTCAGGGCTCTTTTTCCCGTCACATTTTACTCACTGCAAGCTCTTTTTTCACTGCACCAAGTCCTTCACCTCTATGAAAACAACCATGGCTATAAAGACTCTTCAAAAATTGTAACAACACAGGCATAATGATCATTACAATATTTGTGTAAAACATTTTTAAGTTTGGAACTTTAAAGAAAATTGAATTTCTTTAATGTATTTTCCAAAAAAAAAATACAATTGCATTATTTACAATATAAAACATTTTCCAAGTACCTGCGAGTCTTACCAATATTGGTATAAAACATGGCATCTCCAATTGCAATAAAAATTGACAACAAGTCCTCCAACTCATACGACCAAATAGGTTGATTGTTCAAGCCCTTATTACGACCAAATATCAATCAATAGGATACGGCTGTAATAGGCCTAAGGCCATTTAGTCGCTCATAAATAAATGAGTAGATCACTGATTCTTTATTTACTATGGATGCTAGCAACAGTCACATAGTCCAAAGTGAAGGTGATGTTTGACCAGTAGTGGTCGAGGCGGGACTTGAGACAGTTAACCGTCTTGGATGTGACCACGCTTTCTGGCAGATCATTCCACAAGTCAACCACACGCAGGCTGAAAAAGTTGCGGCGGAGTACTGTTTCTTCAACTTGAGGCAGAGTCCACGAATCCTGGTGTTATAATCCCGTTGAAGTGGGCATGATGTTTTGTAGATGTTGTGGAGATATTTGAAAACTTCGATCATATCTCCCCTCGCCCTTCTATAATACATACTCGGGATTTTAAGACTTTGCAGTCGTTCTTGATATGGTAGGTCCTTTAGTTCTGGAACCAGCTTCGTTGCCCTTCTCTGTATTTTCTCGATGAGCTCAGCATCCTTTTTGTACATGGGGGACCAAGCGACATTCCCATACTCGAGGAGTGGCCGTACAAGAGAGATGTATAAACTACATACTACGTCAGAGTCCAAATAAGTGTATGATCTGCGGATCATTTCTAGGATACCATTCACTTTGTTACTTGCCCGACAGATATGGTCACTAAATGTCAGGGTATTATCAACATTCACACCAGAGTCTCGGATAGGTTTATAGTGTTTGAATTATCACCCATATTATACTATTTTTGATTCAGAAAACCTAAGTGCATTACTTTGCACTTTGCTGCATTGAATTTGAGCTGCCAACACTCGGACCATCATTGCATTTTTCTGAGATCTGACTGGAGTTTTTCTGCATCCTCTTTACACTTAATTTCCTTGAAGACTTTAGTATCATCTGCAAACATCTGGACCCTGGAGCTCACATTATCCGGTAGGTCGTTGATAGTGGACAAACAGTGAAGGACCCAGGACACTACCTTGTGGAATTCCACTGAGAACTGGGCACCATCCAGATGGTTTCCCATTAACAAAGACTCTCTGTCGCCTGTTTTTGAGAGTCTGAGATCCAGGTGAGTATGTCTCCACGGATACCATACCCATAGAGCTTCTTCAGTAATCTTTTGTGAGGTACAGTATCAAATGCTTTCTCGAAATCCAAATAAATGGCATTGAGACTTCCTCTCTGGTCCAGGGTACGAGACCATATGTCAAGGCAGGCCAGGAGTTGGGTTGAACAGGATCTGCCCTGGACGAAGCCATGTTGGCGGTCTGATAATAGGTTGTTTGAGTCAAGATGTTCTATGACGGCATCACGCACCAATGATTCAAGGAGTTTGCATACTACTGCTGTAAGGCTGACAGGCCTATAGTTTCCAGGATTGCTTCGGTCACCTTTTTTGAATATAGGAGTTACATGACCATCCTTCCAAGGCTGTGGTACCACACCTTCATCAAGCGATTTTTTAAATATAGTAAGTAAGGGTTTATCTAGTTCGTCACACAGTTCTTTGAGAATCCTGGGATAGATGCCATCCAGTCCTGATGCTTTTGAGGCATCTAAGTTCGTTTTGTATGGATGTCCTTTGATGTGAAGTCCAATTTATTGAGTGTAGTATTAAATGGTCTGTCCTGGAAGTCTGGTATTGATGAGGTATCCTCCTTTGTGAACACACTAGCAAAGAAAGAATTTAGTGTATTGGCTTTGTCCTTGTCATTTTGAGCCAGGCTGCCATTAGCTTTTTTCAGATCTCCGACTGTGGCATTGACTTTTAGCTTGCTTCTGGCATATTTATAAAAAGCTTTCGGATTCTCTTTGACTTCCTTTGCAATTTTTATTTCATGCTCTCTTTTAGCTTTCCAACACTCCCATTTAACTTGGTCGCCCAATTTTGCATAGGAACAACGGTCACTCTCTGTACCAGATAACCTTTGTAAGGTGTAAGCTGCACTTTTTGATTTGATTTGATGTTTTTATTCTATCATTTATCCAAATGTCTGTGCCCAGTCTGTCCCAATAATTTCCTGTTTCAGGCCTTCATAATTTCCTTTATCAAGGATGAACTTGCGGTTTGGATTATCACATATCTCATGGTAGCATAGAAATTTGAAAGACAGGCAGTCATGGTAACTTTTTCCTAGTGGTGCTTCATGGCTTAGATCCTCAACCATTCCCTCCTCATTTGTGATAATTAGGTCAAGCACGTGTGGGGTTTGGTTTCCTCATGCATGAGTTGGTTTTGTTACATGTTGAAATACGTAGCAGTCTCTCTGGTGCCCATATGGGTTGTCAACCAATTTCAGGATAGTTAAAGTCTCCCATAATAAAAACGTGGCTGCGGTTCTTCAACTAAACTTCTAGTTTCAAAGTTGCCGATATTTTTGACAGTTTGGTGACCGGTAGACACATCCAACCAGAAGACGGTCCGTATTGTGGAGTTGTATTTCACACCACACAGATTCTGTAGATGTACAGCCCTTCAAGTTCTTAGGTACTGCTCTGAGGTAGGATTTAGTGTAGATACAGACACCTCTTCTACCCTCATCTAGATTGCTGAAAATGTCATATCCACTGATGTTCAATTCACATAACTGGATTGGTACTTGTGGGTTTTTTGGAAGTGCTTCACTAATAGCTATAATATCTGGGTCATATTTATCAATGTTTGCTACCAGTTCATTTATCTTATTCATAACATAATCTGCATTAGTGTAAAGACATTGAAGACCCTTAGAAAGTCCTCTACTACTCTCTGAGTTGTTATTATGTATGTATTTGTGGGTTCTGTCTTGTTTGAATTTGGTTTGATTTTTTGCCAAACAACTTTCATCCCACACTGGTCCTTGTATTTTGAAGCGCCACATGTTCGTTCCGTCCTCTTCCATTTAGATTTTTGCTTTCTTGACAAGGTCGTTCCTCTGTTCCCGTTCTTCTTTGGAGAGGTCTTTGCCACACTTATTGACTTGAACTTTGCTGATGCGTTCTTCAATTTGTGGAGACTTGACATTATTTTTCGTTTCTCGAAAGTGGAATTTGTGGTAATCAGCATTGGTCTGTTTTTTTCCGGTTCTCGAGTCCCGAGGCGTATCACCTTTGATGCCAAAACCCCTTCGATTCCCAACTCGTTTTTTATCAGATCGTTTATCGTATTTTCATCTTATCTATATTTTCGTCCTCACTTTCTTGTAATCTGTGTATAACAATGTTTTTCTCTCTGCTCTCTTCTGACTGTTGTTCTCTCGTAAACTCCCTGATTGACGATTTGACTAGTACCTTATCGTGTATTGTTTTCTTCCTGACAACATCTGACCACGTAGGTGAAGTATCATCCTCAGTTACAGAGTCACTGTCTCCCTCCTTAGGTGGGCTCACCGGTATGTCTTGGGAGATGAGCTGTGCGATAAGCTCTCTGGTGTAGTTTTGTTGTTTCTCTGCTTGCTTAATTATCATCTCCTCTAGTGCGTCCAATATTTTTACTAATTCAGGTGATGAAATTGTTTCTTGTTGTTTATTGTTTTCCAACAGTTCCTCTGATTTTGAATCCTTCAGAGCCTTGCGGGTTTTATCCTGGCATTGCTTACTACACAGCCACATCAAGTCATCACGCTGTGTGACTGCATACGTTAGTTTCAGACATTTTGCACATGTGTGTTGATTGCAATTTTCACATTCTAGTATCTTTGTGGTGACCTCACTGAATATGACTTGGCAGATATTACATACCCAGGAGTCTTCATCTTCTGTTTTATTGACATTTGTTACATCGTTACCTCTCTCTTTTTTATTGTCAGGTGGCTCATTTCCGGCAAGCTGTATAGCTGTTTGACTTACGAGCCTCATCTTCCCTTTATCTTCTTCATTCTCTTGCTCGTCTTTCTTCTGTTTTGGATTATTTCCCGGCATGTTTTGTTGTTGTTGTCACTAGAGATTTGTCTGATTTGTGGCTCTTCCCGGAGCTGACAATCGGACAGCTGTTAGCTCCGTTAGCAGCTAGCTCTCCTCAACCCACTCACCGGGAAACTGATGCAAATGTATCTCCACTCTCACACTTGTCTGAGTCTGTGGCAGTATATTTGAGTGGCTGCAGGGACAACGATGTAATGCCTGTCTCTTTCTCCGGTAAACTCCTTGACTTTTCTCCGGTAAACTCTGTGTGTTTTCTCCGGTAAACTCCTTGTCTCCTAAGTTTTCATAATAAAACCGTATTCCCCTCACTGTCAAATGATTTCACAATGATATTTGCAGTACTCATCCACTAAAACAAATCAGTTTATCCTAGTTAATTACACAACATTAATTAGTTTAAATTGTGTACACCGCTTTTGTGTTTTTCCCATAGGCTTTTCCCTCTCGATTCTGAGAGACACATTTCTTTTTTCAGAGGTTTTGATAGGCTAAAACATCTACCTATATAATCCTCAGCTACCGTTCAAGCTTGGTGATTGGATGTTTTAGCCGCAATGCACGTTCGGATATGGTGTTACTGTTTATGCGACATGAAATCCAAAAACATTTATAGAAAAAAAAATAATACTTTATTCCGAGTGTGCTTGCTTTTCTCTTTGAAAGTTATCACATAACGGCATTGTAATACACGGTTCGGCTGCAAAAAATATTACATATCTGCCGTAGTTCTTTATTTATAGAGCCCTGATTAGAAGACCTTTGGACAAACTGGAAGAAATGCCGCCAAAACTGAATACGTGAGGTGGATCATAAATATATCAGCAATTAAACAACATCTTCCATTTCTTTTCACACAATACGTCTCCTTGCAGTATCAACACTAATTCGGCTGACTTTTATATTTGATCCAATTGGTAGATAGGTTATATTTACCCCATAACGGTGCGCAGCTGATAGAAAGGGACTTGTAGTTTTTAAAGATATTACTGATTTTCTTTGAATATAAGAATGTAAATACTGAGTTGAGAGAATAGTCAGGGGTTAAGGGTGATGGGAGACACATCTATGGAATCACAATTGCAATAGCTTACCATTAAATGACGGATATACCTTTCTGTCTGTGATGTTACACTATATATATCATATATAATATATATATATATATATATTATATATGATATATTTAAGCAATAGCTCACGACAGGCCGTGGTATATGCTCAGTATATCACAGCTAAGGGGCGTGGTTCGGCCCGACGCGAAGCACGCCCTGAAAGTATACCCCCTTAACTGCAGGCAGTTTGCTTTTCAGCCCAACAGTATACAGTTTTTCTCAGACGCGGAGGGATACTGACTTGTAACTACAATTCTACCCGTGGTATACGCTCAGTATATCACGGCTAAGAACCAATCAGATTGCTTGATTTGACTTGTCCGTTTTATAAATATATATATATACATTATCAGCTATAATATTTCCTTCTATAGAACTACAATATGTGAAATATTATAGCAATATCCTGTACAATTATGTGAAAACATAAATAAAACTACACATCTTCAGATGTTATACATAAGTGTCCTACATTAATAATACAAATGTATTATGGCATTGTATGCTGTGTGTTATTTGTAACATAAGAAACTACCTTTCCAACTCCTCATGCAGTTGACTGTTACAGGTCTATACAGGTTCATGGTACAATGCATAAGCTTCAAATCGAGAGACTGAAACTGTATTTTCCTTTTTTAATTTCACAATAAAGTTAATAGTAATTATGTTTGATACACTTATGTTTTATTAACTAGATCACTGGTTTTTTAACCCGCACCACCTAGTGGTTAAAGTTAATGCACGCTATTGAATTTTGTTGTTGAATATGTTATATTTTATGAACACATTTAAATATTAAGAGTAGCCTGCATAGGGGGAAAGTAGAAGGTCAATGATAGATATATAGAATAGAAAATATCAAGAAGATACTGTAGTGATCTCTACAATAAAACAGCTAGTGGAGGATGTCCAAAGATATTAATAGGAGGATGTGCAAAACAGACAAACTAATAAATAATTATTTACGTTTTGGTCTTCTTTTCAATAAGAACAAAACTGTGGGGGTATCAACAGATAAATAGTAAGTCTGACAAAGTACTTAACGTCTAATATATTGCATAGTTTATTTTGGCACTTGACAATCACTTTCCCTGAATTTTACTCGGGTGTAACTAAAGTCTGATTTAAGGGTTGTATATATTTCAAATCATTAATCAGAATCTGCAAAGTAACTAAAATAAATGTAGTGGAGTACAAATACCAGGTTAACCTCGGAATTGTAGTGGAGTAGAACAAAGTAGTACATGCTGCTGTAACAAAAACATTTCCCAACTTGGGATCAATAAAGTCTATCTTATCTTATGATGATCGATGGCTAATGCCATATTTGCAAAATTTGCCTCTGAACCTTGACAAGTGCATGTTTCAGGCTTATCAATTAACAACAGGAGGGGTCACAGACATAAGACCAGCTGTTAAAGCTCTTCTGACCTTAGCTGTCATATTAATGCTGCCCATTATGGACACAAGCCATTTTCACCCATTTATTAATTATATGGTTTTAAATTTGATAACACCAATGTGTTTCGTACCCCCTAAACCTCCAGGGATGTACACAGTTTAATACTGGCAACTTCTAATTATGGGAAATACGAAAGGTCTTTTAAAACTACAATTCCCAGTAGAGACGTGCCATAGAACATGTTGCGAAACACAATAGCCAGCATGTGTAGTTCTGGGGGGGGGGGAAGCTGGGCTGGACCCGTCCGAGTCCAGTTTTGGATAGTCTGCCATGGTTACATTCCATTTCATAGAGCTGTTTGACGCTCGGCGTAACCTTGTCGCACTGCCACTCCAACATCCAATCACAGAGCTTGAGGACTAATCACAGGTTTGTAAAGGAAAGCGGATGTTGTAGTCCCAAACGATAGCTGAGGATTCTGAGTAGTGTAGGTCTACTGTCTTCGGAAACTATTTGTTTTTCCGAATCGAAGGTTAAAAACACAAAAGCATTGTACACAATTTAAACCAATCAATATTGTGTAATTAACAAGGATAAACTGATGTTTTTTAGTGGATGAGTAATGCAGATATCACTGTGTGATCATTTGACAGTGAGGGGAATACTTACGGTTTTATTATGAAAACTTCGAGACCGGAAATACTGTTTTCACCCTGTGAGGGTTGACCCTAACTTTACATGGACGCTGCGTAAAGACGTAGTACACGTTCTCCTGGCGAGACCTCAAATCATCTTCGTAATATAAACTATAGATCCTACACATCCACTGGACGTGGATTCTGAATGTACAATATACACTTCTCGCTAGAAATCTAATCAAAAAGCATTTTAACGGCCAAACTATCCTACAATTTAGGATTTTTCAGAGAGGGTTATTTGTGAATAAACGACCCTCCGGAGCGTTTGCAATCAACGGGAGCATGTTGTTTCTTACACGACCACTAGAGGTGCTACACTTTAAAACTTGACTATGGGTCGTAATAAGCTGCTGAGCAATCGACCCATTTGGTAGTTTTTGTTGGACAGGCTGCAAATTGAACTCGAAATGTTTTTTGTAACCTCTGACTACAATCTCTCTTGTCCTTTCCTCTCTGCTCTGTTTAAACAGTGTAAAGTTTCATTGAGTTTTTGACACATGACAGTCAGTGTCTACCTAAAGACTCAAGATGTGCTCAGGGGTGCAGAATATTTGTTTTTTACAGGATCTGGTTAGAACTTTAATTGAGACATGTAAAATAAATAGATTTTGCTGAAATATCACAACGTTAAGCTTGGTTTGGTTGCTTTAATCACAATGTGTTCAAGGGCCGCTGGAAACTTGAAAATCCAACAATATTGTTTCACGAGTTTAGAGCAGAGCAGACCCAGATGCAGACTGACTGGTAACACAATACCTGTGGTGGATGGTGTGTTACTCCTTTGCTTCTCTCTGCCCCCCTTTTCAGGTGTGTGTCCCTCTCAGACCCAGCAGCAATCTCAGACCCCCCAAGAGGGAGAGGATCTCCACAGAAAGAGGAAAAGGCAAAACAAGAAGAACCCCTATGTCTATTTGACCTCCTTCCTGCACCGCAGGCAGTCTGAGGAGGACCAGACAGGCATACTGGCCAGTGCAGACTCTGAGGGCCCAAATTACGGCACTCTACGCTGACCCGTGTGCCCCCAAGCCATTGGACTAGACTGAACCCAGCCCTCCCTGCTCCACCCCGGGCTCTAGCTAACACATTTCTTATACATTCTAAAAGTTCATCAGGGCTGGGCAGCGAGAAACATCCAGCTGAAAACTCCGGGGGTTGAAAATCTCATTTGAAGTCAAGAACAATGGCTTTTCTGACTTGGCACCACCACTTGTCTCTGAGGAATTTCACTTGAAAACATTTCAAACATATATAATGTATATAAATAGTAAAAACAAGGGAATTAAGCTTCCTTCTACAGTAATAAAAATGTGTTGGTTGAGTATGTCACAACACGTAAAAGATTTTTCACTCACTGGTCATTGATAGGTCCATATCTTTAGGTTTTCCAGTGATACAGTGTACTGTGAAACCTGGTGCGTCCTCGGACATGGACATGGGTCTACCTTTCCTACAATACAAATAGCGTCAATATTAAAACACAGGGTTCTTACCACAAAATATACCTCAGAGTAAACGCAGAGTTGCTGTAAATCTTTGGGTATACTGTAAGTACTTGACCTTTTTACATATGTTGATTAAAAGGTTTATATCACACGTCACACTCATTCAGACAGATAATATGGCCTAACTTGATCTAATTTAGCTTTTTACTATCGATAATATCTGGAATCTTGTGTTTATTTTCATGTATGATTCAATGCCAACCATTAGAGGACTGTCTTAATTGTTGTGCTTGATGGCTGAGTGTGTTTACACTTATCATTAAAGCACCAAATTAAGATCAAGATCATAGCCTTCATGAGAGCTCTCAAAATAATTTGGGGCTTACACGATCAACAGAGGTTGGACTTTAGGTTTAGAAGAACAGGGTGATGAATTGTGAAGTGTACTGTAGTATGTATTTCATTATTAAGAAAATCATTTGTGGAACGTGGCACGTCTCTAGGTGCCTTTTTTTTTGCCTTTTCTCTTGTTTTTTCTAACATAAACTGCCTTTTCCTTCGCCTTCTCATATTTGTCTCTTCTGGAGGTTGGAAGTGAGAGACTTTAATAGTATGTGTGTTTTTACTTTCTCTGCCAAGGACACATTAGAGAAAATGCTACAGAGAATGCATAACTTCTTTGTTGTTTTTTACATTTATATTTTAAATGGGTACCTGCTTCAACTTTGTGTATCCAAGTAATAGTACAGAACCAGATTACCCATACAAATAAAACAAAAAAATACCAATTAAAATAAAAAAAGACAAGTAAATCTAATAAATACCACTTTATGTTCAAGAGCATTGTGCATGAGTTTTCATGCGTAACTAGTAGGATGTTAATGTTTAACGACAGCTGTTAGAGGAGAATGTGATTTATTCATGAAGCTGTTAACAAGCAATGAGAAACACTCTAACAATGGCCACCCTGACTGTTTATCTTTAACAACTGTATATTACTTGCTAGCTACTTCTCTGTATGTTTGTTAGTTTTTCGTCACTAACCGATAATGAATGTATGTTTTGCTGTACAGAAAATGAATGTCCCGATGTCACAGTACATTGAATGACCCATTACGTTGTTTATAGAGCAGCTGCCATTGGTGAGATGTCCAGTTGGAAAATTAAGTCCAAATTGTTTAACTTCTCTGTGTTATTGCTGCATAAGGTAATAACTAACAGCCCCACACAAGTCCTGAGCCAAGCTCCCTTTCTTCTGATGGCTACAAAAAACCCATTTCCTTTTTACTGCTAATGCTAGTTCAATCACTCAAAAACATATCAGCTATATTTCCATCTGCTACAAACAAATCAGAGGTTTCCGACAAATATCCACATGAATGAATCGACTCAATGTCTGCTTATTGAAATCTCTTTTGACAAGTGAGAGAGTGATGATTGCCCGAAAGTGAAAGTGCATATTCTACTTTAACAAATTGGTTTCATGTAAGATGCGAGTAAAACAAAAAAAGATCTATATTTGTTATGTACTGTACATGGTATGTATTGTATTTGTAAAGATGAATCAAACCATGTTTTACAGGAAGACGTTCTTGTATGAGGATGTATGAAAAGACGGGAAGGATCCCTAGGACAAATAAATTAGATTATATATATATATATATATATAAAAGTATTTGCTTACAGTACGGCTTTAAGTGGATAATGTTTCTAAAACATTTTAAGGTGCCTCATTTGTCATAATTTAGCAGACATTATTTTATCTGAGAAGAAAAGAAAACCTTAATGTTAGTACCGTACGATGTATTTTTGCCATAGCCCGCTGGCTGCACAAGTTAAGTAGTATTTTCTCTGATGTATAGTACGTGAATGCCCTTTGGAAAAAGCTTTAGAAGCAGACGTGTGTTGCCCTCTATAACAATATTCTTGGTACAAAGTAATACTCTTAGATTTATCCAGATATTTCGCCTTCAGGTGTCCAAAGCAAATAAACGGAAGGAAACTTTTTTCTAGGCGTCACAGACATGCTCTCGTCATGTACAATACGTGCTGTGGAGGAAACTGTGTTTACATTAGTTTGATGAAGAAAAGTGTGTTAGGGCATAGTTGCTTTGAACATTACGACTTGGTGCTATGTTTAACTTTGTGGTGCTGTAGAATAGAGGTCTAAAGATTTTTTGTTCTGTTTCCACAAGTAGGCTCTGTGTGTTTGAGTAACTAAACTAGCTCCGGTAGACTCTATAGGTCCTTATAACAGTATCATGGTGTGATGACAGTGATAGACAATACTGGAAAAATAGTAGTATAACCTCGAGTAATAGAGACTTGTGACATTCAAATGAACTCCTGTTTTCTATTGTGTGTTTGCAATGTCTGTCTGTGCTTCCAAGGTACCCTCTCTAAAGTATATTTGTGATGATATTGACAATATTAACCAAGCCTAAAAAGAGAACCTGGTTTAAATTAGTACACAGCCAGGACACATGAGAGGGAATCTGAGAGCAATGTCAGGTCGCGAGGGGATCTTTTCTACACAGTTCCTGTAGGTCCGCCATCTTTGGTTAACAGCACTGTTTTTCAAGCACACTATCTGCAGGGGCGTAACCGTCTCATGTCATCACCACTTTTCTGACCGTAGAAATACTACTAGTACTGTACAGTATGGCCACGAGTAACCATCAGACCACATTTGTATGTAATGCTGATTCTCCTGGTTGAAAGGTGTTGGGAAAGCTCATACATCCTCTCTGTGGGTTTAAAACGAATGGATGTTGTCTTCCGGGCTCTTTTTTGCATATTCAACAGAAACATGTAGCCTACAGCGTTTAAGAGGGCTGCTTTGGACGTACTGTTAGCTCGATTTTTTTGTTTCCTTTTCGATTTTTCTGCTTACAGCTTTTAGTGCATCACTAGGTGCTGGTAGGATGATACTTAGAACCGATTTGATTTTTTATTGTATTAATCTTGCATGTAGAGACAATACAAGAAAACGCCTACTGTATTTAGCAATCATTCATGGACATCCGAGCTGGTTGTTATTGGACGGAAAATAGAAATATGTAGTATTTTCTATATTCTCTGTTTTTTCATGTGTACCAGCACTGAGAAACTAGAATGTATTATTATCGTAGGCTACAATAAGCACTACATCGTTGACTGTTTTAGCTATTGCTCATACTCAAGCAAACCAAGTAGTGCTTAAAAAGGAAGAAAATTTACTACATTTAATTTCATTTTCATCCACTGAACTCTGTGCTGTTCATCACATGTTTACATTCTGTATTATATGTTGTTTATTGTTTTTTTTGTACATAGTTTGTCTCCATAATGGTCTTTAAGTTGTATTCAACACTGTTCATATGTAAATATTTCCCAAGCATTTCTTTTTACTATTCTCTGTTTTAAAATGATAACCTGATGTCCCTTTTTTTGTGTTCAGTTTTTAGACTTATATTTCCGTTATGTCACCACATCAGGTATAACGCTTCACTTAACTTTTTGTGAGCAATTAACTCATACTGTATGGTGCTGTACCAAAGCCTTATGTATAATATTTGTATTACTTTATCTCTTGTTTGCCACTGCTGTCCATTGAATTATGTATCATCTGAGATCATGTCTTACTCACTCTTCATGTTCAACTGCCATGGATCTCATTTCTTTATTGAGTAAACAGAAACCTGAACGAACTATGATGTAAAAACTCTGGCCTGTAACCAACTGGCCTGGATATGACAGTCGCCATCAAAAGCCTTTGTAAGGAGAAACACACAGGCTCACTGCTAGTGGCTCATTGTGACGTAGACATGGGCCTAGCACATGATCTATGCTCTATATATGGCATGTCTATGAGAATATGAAAACAGTGTTGTATTCATGTCACCATATCATTTCAAAATGCTTAGTCCCATACGAAATTTTCCTCTCAAATTTTTGTATTTTGATATAATAAAAAAAATCAAAAGAGGTTTTATTTTTCCTTGTGGATTTATTTTTCCTAGACTTGAGCTCCTCTGTTCGTATCTCTCAAGAAGGTGTAATACATATCCTGCACACAGGGTGTAGGTGTTGGGCAGATGGAGATAGGGTGGGGATTGAGCGGTTTAATCAGGCCAGGTTTTTTTTGTTCTTTAATCCTAGGACACACTAGCAGCATCCCATGAGTTTAACTGCAAGGTTTTATATCATATTTTTATCTTAAAAAAAAGTGTTTTCCTTTGATTTGTAACATGTCGGATATATGACTTTATTTAGAATGGTGCTATTGAGATCAAAGTCTATGTTTAAATGCACACAAGTTTGTTAAATGATTAATATTTTGACCCCAGCTTGGCTTTCTTGGCCATTCAAACATTAAGGAATGATTTGTGTGGAGGAACAAGAAAACCAAATAACTTGAAAGAGGATGAGTCCTATCAGAATGACCTTTGTGCTTACCCCCGGCAGGCACACAAACAAATGAGCAGCGATCTGCATACACCTGGAGAGCAGTTAATCCACTGCTGGGCAAACACACCAACCTTTGGAGGCGTCACCAACTCTTTTGACAAAAAAAGTCTAATTGTTTAACATTTTTCTTCAGCTATTATATAAAATGTAAAAACATAGTTGTTCCTTTAAGTGATTTTGGCTTATTCGAGGTAATATATACAGCACATTGTAAGCTCACAAATATTACACTTTACAGTAGTTGAGCTTTAATCATAGAGCTAATACAAATATATATTTTACATATATTTCTTATAACTTCCTGTTCACTATGGAGTTGCCAGGCAACCAGTTGAGACTTGTGGAAGCTAATGCAACCTATCTGTTGAACATAATGAATACAGTATAAAACAATACATAGGGAACATATTTATGCTTATCTTACACATTGTATTATAGATCTGAGTATAACTAAAGTAAACAAGAAATTGAGAAAAAACAGGTAATTAGTTAACTTTGAGATGCTGCTTAGCGTTCTATAATTGTAATTATATATATTTATTACTTTGGACCATGCTGTATTTACCCGTTACTTTATGTCTCTTCAGTGTAAATAATGGCCTGCTTAAATACTTTCCACCACTGCTAAAATGTAGAACTATTGCTCTAAAAAATGTTGACTGATGTTAGGTATTTGCTAGAGGAATAATATCAATAATAACAGTAGTACAATTGTCAGATATAAATCAACAGACTTAGAGATTCATCTTTTTGTTGCATCTTGCAGTTCTTGCAGGATCAGGGATCTTAATGGTGTCCCAGTGCCTCCACAGCAAAAATAAGTATTTGAAATCTTCTCCTTTAGTGGACGGGCACAATAAGATGATGGATGGTGGTTTGCAGGTTTTACTCCTCTCACTGTTACCACCCACTAGATGGTTATGTAATTCTGTATCAAGCATTACCTAACACCACACAATTTGCCAGATGGGGCTCCTCAGGCTGGTGAATATTTTCAAAAAGGATGAAGGGGGGAGGGGGGATGCATACTCTCACGCCTGCTGCATATTCAGGTCCTTGACATTGAAAAGGTCTGGGAACCCCTAGGGCTAAAACATCCCAGGCGCGCGAGCACGAGATCAGTTGTGCGCGCTCCCGCTGGCGAGTGCAGATTCACAGAGCGAGCCAGCTCCTCGGAATCACTCCCACACTGCCTCAGCCTCAGAGATGTCGCATCCGAGCACAGCTTTCACCACAGAAAACATCTACCTCCGATGATCCGCTGTAAGCCTGCGTGTGTGTCCGCGATGAGCGTTTCTGCAGTGCGATGCTGACAGCATGTTTCCTCGTCGAGAAGCTCAGCGCTGTGCAGCATAGAGGAGTGGAGCAACGTGCAGGTAGGCTGTTCGATCAGGGAGTCAATACCACACACATTATTGAACCGCTGTCACTGCCCTGATGTGTCATTTTGAAACCTGATTCACGCTGTTTTACGAATCGATCAGCCGATCAATTTGGTACAATTACTGTGTGTGTGTGTGTGTGTGTGTGTGTGTGTGTGTGTGTGTGTGTGTGTGTGTGTGTGTGTGTGTGTGTGTGTGTGTGTGTGTGTGTGTGTGTGTGTGTGTGTGTGTGTGTGTGTGTGTGTGTGTGTGTGTGTGTGTGTGTGTGTGTGTGTGTGTGTGTGTGTGTGTGTGTGTGTGTGTGTGTGTGTGTGTGTGTGTGTGTGTGTGTGTGTGTGTGTGTGTGTGTGTGTGTGTGTGTGTGTGTGTGTGTGTGTGTGTGTGTGTGTGTGTGTGTGTGTGTGTGTGTGTGGAGTCCACCGGTGATCTGTCAGGCCCAACAGGTCATAGTACACCGTGGTTAACTTGTCCCCCTGTAGCCCACATTGTCTGGTTGCTCTATTGAATTAGACTGTTTATTTTGAAACCCGTTTTACGATGTTTGTTGGTAGGTTAGAGGGAAAATAATAGGCACGATTTAAGTAACTTTTATCGAGAAAATAATCATACAATACCATAAGATAATGTTGTATTGTTAAATGTTTCTTGCATCACAGCAGCTTCATTTGCAGCATCAAGAAGGACACATAGGACAACGAGAAACACATACAGCAGATAATTCAATAAAGGAGCCTAAATATATTTTATAATATTGTATACAGTTTATAAAATAAATCATCAGTGATGTAATTGGGGAAAATACAAAGGGAATTGATAAAACGTGTAATATCTAACAAATTATTGGGACTGAGAGAGAAGTAACAGATTAACCATTCTTTCTTTAAACATATTCTCAAAAATGCACAAGTTCCAATTTATCAGGTTTGGGGACTGGCTGCCAATTTTATGTAAAAGTAAACTGAATTTATGTTTTTGAGTGTTATTTCATCTTTTCGTCATTGGCTTTTGTCATTATTTTCTTTTGACTATTTATAGATCGAGTGATTCATGAATAAATTAGGGAAATAATACGTTTAAAGATAGTAATGCTGCCTTACACTGTATTGTGAAGCCTGTGGCTACACTGTGCCATCCTTGTATGTGTGTAGGAGTGCGTATGTTTGGTATTGTATTATGTAATGCAGTGCAAAACACTCATAACACAATCATGGCCTCAACATGTACAGCCACAGTTGAACATGAGTGAAGGTAGTTATTGTTGCAGGGATGTTGTATTGGATTGCACTATATTGGGCAGGTGACATATCACGTGTCATATCTCTGCGTTTCTGTGACACCTAATATTGGGTTAGTGAGCCAGCAGCATGGTCACATAGCTTTATCCTCTAGAATGAATGTCATATTCCCTAAATATGTGTCCCACTCAGTAAATACCCTCTTAATCCTTTATTTGACTGTCATTTGCTTATTTTGAGGAAGTGAATATGTGCTTGAAACAGAAAGGCCTGTATTATGTCACTGTTAGGCTTAGGTGGCAGATCAGCTTGTCGATTAAATATTTGGGTCTCTGTTGTCTACAAATTAATCGCCCTGCTGTTCACCCCGCTTTCTACCCTTTATTTGTGATGCTGGTGGTTGCAGAAGGACAAAGATAGAGCCGTGACACCGAGTGTGAGATGAAATAAAGTTAATCTCACCCTGTTAGACTTCAAGAAGATTATAGGATCATATGACCCCCCCCCTGCCCACCACCTCTCCCTCTTACTCCACCTTCAAAAAGTCAAATGAGTGACAAAGCTTTATCAGAGGTTTATTTAAAAAAAAAAAAAATGGTTGCAGTGTGCTCTTCCTGAGGGAGTGGCAGCATCATTGTGCTGGCAGCGATGTCATTGGCTCGGGCAGATTGTGGTTGGTGACGATGACGATGGAGCGGATGTGTCGAAGCTTATGGTCAAAGGTTCCTCACAGGCTTGATTTTCCCTCGTCTTGTCAACTCATCCTCAGTCTGGATGGAGCTTGGTCACGATGGACCGGATAGAGGTTACCATGGCAACCAAGAGCCTTTCTCCACTGCGCCTCTCTGGCTTGTGTTGTCTGCATTCCAGAGCTAAGAATGAGAGCATGAAACCAACTTTACACTGGCCTATCTCATCCCCGAGGGACACGATGTTTGTTTACAGTATGGTTAAGCTGCATCAAAATCCAGACATGAGGATGCAGTTAAAGCTGCTGCTATTCTTATTTTTATATTGGTAAATGACCACATGACTTAGTGTACTCAAAGGGATTACTTGTTGTTTTGATAATTATCATTGGACCTGTTGATGTATTGTGATGTTAAGAGTGTCCATTATCATCTGGCCGGGGACAACAGCTGGAAATTAGCAATGTTTGCTAAAGCTGCCCCATTTACTGTTTTTTGTGACAGTTGATCTATGGGGACTGTCCACGACACTATAAACAAATAAATTAAACTGAACTAAACCGCAGTTCCCTACAGTTGTTTGAGCTTCGTAGTGTCTTTCAGCCCATGGTTTGGGTTTTCCAGTGCACAACTTTACTGTATTTGTTCCCCCTCATAGCTTTCATTTGTAATATCAGCAATTAAGCTTAGACACCTCCTGGACGCTAACTTCCTATCACCAAACAGCAGATTGACAAAGTTAGAAAGAAGCTTCTAAATGTAGCGTATTATAGTTGTTCACTATTTTGCATCTAAAGACATAGGGATTTCCATCAGATGTTTCATTCGAGAACAAACAAAGCTACACAAAAAGTGAATATTAGACCTACTTCTTCATTTAGACACAAATATGGTAAATAAATGATAATGTCGTATACTCTGTAACTGCTGTATGTGATAATAAGAATCTGTTTCCTAACAAGTGTCTACTGTTTGTTTCAAAAGTGGCCAAAACATCAGTAATTGCAGGTTTAGTTCTTTTTTTAAATAAGGATTTAAAGGGGACCTATCATGCAAAATCCACTTTTTCATGTCTTTTATATATAAACATGTGTCCCCTCTGTGTAAAGAGATTCTGAAAGTTTCATGAAAAAAGATTCTCTCACTTTTTGTCCTGATCCATTTATATAAAAACCTGTCTGAAAATGAGCTGATCAGATTTTGGCCACTTTAT